CCGGCGGCCCGCCCGGGGGTTCCCCCTGAGGTGAGGCGGCTGTTGCTGTGTGAAGGGCGGCCCCGCGGGAGGAGCCCGGCCGGTGGAGCCCCGGGGGAACCAGGGCTGGCGGGGGCGCGGGGTTTTAGCCGTTTGTTTGACGCTGGCGGGGCGGGTTTGCTGCCGGGGCCGGGCCGCGGCGGGCGCTGGGCGGTGGGCGGTGGGTGCGGCGGCGGGGCCGGCGGCGGGGGGCTGCCGTCCCTGCCGGGGCGGTCAAACCTCCCTCCGCTGTGCGGGTGGCCTGCGCTGTGGGGACTCGGGGTTCTCCTTTTAACGGTGTAAACGGCAGATCTTGTGAGTCCCTGGGCCGAATGTTGAAGTTGGCTGTGGGTTGTCACCGAGCTCGGTGGAAGGGAATGGCACAGAAACAGGGATCTGGTGGAGAGGAGGAGGAGGAGGAGGAGGAGTGGAGCAGCCTTGCAGGGCTGTGCGTGCCGCCGTTCCCTCACGCGTGCCCCTGTTCCCTCACCCGCGCCCGGTGCGATGAGTGGATCCTGCACGGCGCTGGTCGCAGGCTCCGCACTTTGTGCCGCAGCTCCGAGGGAGGAAGCCGAGCTCAGCGCTTTTGCTGTCACACCCTCCGGAGAATCACTAAGAGGAGGTCGGTCGCTAGCCGGGATGGCTTCCAGCGGGCACGGAGGCGGCCTTCAGCAAAGGGTTTGCGATGACTGGGGAAGGAAAGCTGCTCGTTTAAAAAGCTGTTATAATAATGAAGGACCAAAGAGTTTCCCAGAGCAACGGTGTGTCTGTCCCGCGTTAGCTGGTCACGGTGAGCCAGACAAAGCCGGTCTGGCGCTTGACCCTGCGATTCTTTCAGGGTAGTGATGCTCTCGGTGGTGTCACCAGTCTTGGTGCGAGGGAAGGCTTGTGCTGGGCTTTCTCAGTGAGTCTCGGTCCTGGAGCTCAGTGAGTGCTGCTGCTGAGTAACTGCTTCCTCCTTCTTTTTGCATTGTGCTTGATACTAAGATTATAGCAAAGTGCAGGGACTTGATGGGTGTGTGTACAGAAGAACAGAAATTTGTTTAAATGGAACAAAGCTGAGAGGAGGTGCAGATGGCAGCAGAATCAGAAAAATAATACAGTCACCCCAGAACTGGGATTCCTTTGTGCCTAAGCATTTCTCATTAATTGGGCAGGGAGGAAGAGGCTGCTTGGCTTTTGTAATTCTTTCTTGTATGTAAGTACAGGTCCAGGGTGTGGTAATATGTGCATGGACATATTTTGGTGTGTGGAATTACGTCTGAATTAGTAGTACACCTGAGAGAAAAACAGGAAAAGGAGACTGCTGAATAGGTGCAGTTTAGAAATAAGTGATGGAAACTGGAATTGCAGAAAAAAACAGTCTGCATGAACAGCAGCTCTCAGGACTTCATAGGTACAAGTGAACTGTCTTCTCTGTGTAAATTCCAGTGGGATCTTGTGTAAGGAATCTCCAGCTCAGAATTCGTGTGAAAATTGTATTTGAGGGGCTGAGGTTTCTCTCCTTCAGCAGTACGTCCTGTTCTCCAGCATATTTCTCTGTTATCAAGAAAGTTGATTTTTATTAGTTGGTGAGTGTTCAGGTCAACCAGCATAGGCTCAGAAAGCATACATAAATGATTGGGAAAATGGTCACAGTTGGCTCTTTAGAGTCTGGCAGTAAGTAAATGCTTCTGATGTCAAGTGTGATTCTTTAGTTGTTAAATGTTTGACTAGGCTTTTTACTTCTTAAATCTAGGCATGTCGTTTTTCTCACCTTATGACTGGCTATACAGGGTGTATCATTTGCATCTTGTCATGACATTAATCCTAAAACAAGTGGGGTTCTTAAATTAAGTCTGGTGAAATGCTGTTTTTTGACAACCATTTTATCTTTATACTGATACAGATGGACTTTCTGTTCAATGACAGGTTCTGCTTGTGGGTCATTTTTGAGTACACAGGGAAAAATCTCATGCAGCAGCACAGTCGGGAAGTGAAATGTATACCCTTGTACTACGATCCCCAAGTAGTTTCTTGCATCCTAACTCCAGGTCTCTCCTTCTCAGTGCCTGCTAGTCCCTAGGCATTTAGAGGATTAAATTTCTTTAAACTGTTCTAGGGTTACCTGTTGTGATACCCTGCGCACTTTTGGGAAAGTTCTGCAAAAAAACCTTCTGGGTCTCTCTGGGAGCTACAGTGTGGCTCACAAGAAGGACTTGAAATCTAAGAGATCTTCTGCTCTGGATCATAGAATCGTATTTGGGTTGGAAGGAACCTTAAAAGATCCTCCTTCCATTAACATTTCTGCTGTGGAGCACTAACCTAGAACCAAGGAATGGAGCTGCCTGTGTGGCTGTGAAAAGCACGTGGAGGTATCTGGGGAGTCTAGCGGCCTTTCCAAGGGGTAAGGAAAAGGTTTTGGCAAAGCACAATCCACAGGGCTCTTTTTTCCAGCGTGGAACTATAAGGATCCTACTAACAGACTTCCTTCTTCCACATGGTGCCACACTAGGATTAATTTTATGCTTAAGGGGAAATCCCCCAGTACTGTCTAATAACCAGCTCTTCTGTCTCTCATCAAGTGCTGCAAGTTGGCTGTGAAGCCAAGTCCTGATCCCTGTAGGGACAAGTGAGGGTGCTTGGTGTCTTGCTGGCCCTATGGCAATGCCATTGCTGCTCTGTGAGATTTGGATTTAGTCTCTAAAACGTTGCTCTGGGGACACTGTTGGTGCTGAGCAACCCCAAGAATCTCACATGAAGGGCATCTCAGTGGATGGCAGCAGTTGAATGTTGGTCCTCTGTCCCCACCAGCGTGGGGAGGTCCCTAGGAATGCTGAGGCACTGCCCTGGGTGGCCCTGGATGCTTCCTCAGCGTGGGGTGCTGGGTTGTGGGGCTGCTGAGCTGCAGTGGGGAATTGCTTTAAGCGCACTGAGTTATGAGTTGGTGCCTGGTGTTACCATAGAAATTGGATCAGCTGCTAAGGGTGGGGAGTCCTTGTCCCTTGGCTCTGCTGCTGCTGCGTGGTTCCAGCATGAGCTCACGGTGCAGGGGAACCTGATTTCTTGCTCCTTGTCCCTTGGAGATCAGGGGAGGTCAGACAGCTCTTGCAGCCCTCGCTGTAGAGCAGGGGATAATTTTGCTTGGGTCTCTGCTTGGCTGGAGTGGTCAGACCCCGTGCGTTTGCCGTGCTGTCTTGGTGATCTGCTGCCCATCTACATCTTGCTCTTTCATGTTTCAGGAAACTTATTTCATTTGTTTAACAAAAGCTCCCAGTCCTTTGGGAGCCCCAGAGAGGTGAAAACTGGTTGTAAACTGCAGAGAAGGGAGGGCAGGAAGTGGTAAGTGTGGAGTGATCCAGAGGGAGGGGACAGACACTGATCCAATTTCCTGTACTCTCAAAATGCATCCCCAAGCTTGGTCACAAGTGTTGCCCTGAGCATGGACATGATGCCTTCCAGCACTCAGTCTCTCACAGGTTTTGTCCTCTGTGCTCACATCCAAGTAACTGTTTCATCATCTTCTCTGGATAAATACATGTATTCAGGCCCTAGAGATGGAAGATGCAAAAATTGTTCCCCCACTCCATTCTGCTAAAGGAAATAGCTTTATTATGAATATAATGTTTCCACACAAAGGTGTTGTGCCTCCTCAGGTCATTTTTGAACCCTCTGCTCTCCTCACAATGCAAAACCAAGCACAAGCCTGTCTATGAAACAGCCTTACAGAGAGTCTCGCTGGTGCAAGGTGTCCTTTTGTTTTGCTACAGTTCCTCTTGGCTTGCTGCCTGTTGGCTGCCGAATTACTGTCCGTGTGGTCTGTGTGAGCAATCCAGATCTACGTACTTGTCCTTTCCAGCATTATCTTGCTTACTTCCAGGACACTGACTTTAGAGGATAACAGCTGTTTCCTAGGGGTTGTCCCTAAGAATTGGTACCCTTAGGAGGTGCTGTATGCTGTGCTAGGTCACTCCTGGGTTGGATGTATCTTCTGTTTCAGATGAGAGTGAGAAATATTTTCCAGCAGCAGCAAACACATTGAGCTATCCTTTTCTTGGAGCCTCTTAATTCCTTGGTCTCCTCAGTATTATGGAATGCTTGGTGAAAAATACTCATTCCAGCAGTATGGCTTTAAATGAAAAGAGGTGATTCTTTGCTGCTTGTTGCCACGTAGGAAAAAGAGTGATGCTGAAGGGAGGTGAGGATTGTATGTGTGTTGTTCTTGTCTTGCTAGCTCAGCCTACGAAATCCTGTTTTAAGAAGCTGTTCACTTCTCTGTTCAGATCCCAGCACACTGAAGCACCCACTTCAGTGTTGTCAAGAGCTCTGGCCCTCCCTTACTGGGAGAAGGGGAGGGGGTGATTCCTGGGAAAGCTTCCAGCACTGGGCCAACTGTGGAAACAGCTGGGCTTTGTGCCAGCCCTTCGGAGGGAGGGGGACCTCCGAGCTGGTACAGTGAGTGCATCAGGCAGGGGCTGGCGTAGCTTGTCGCCTTCCTCCATGTCTTGGGGCTGCTCCTGTTTCAGGAAAGAAGCTACTCCGTACAGAGCTGTGGTCAAGCAGGGACTCACTGAGAGGGTTGGTTCAGGCTCCTGATGGCCTTTTGATAGGAATTGGCTCAAAAGAATCTGACATATGTTGGTGCTCCTGGCTTGGAGGAGGAGTTCCTGCCTGTGTTAAGGGGGAGGGGGAGTATGAGCTCTGGATAAGTAAAGATAAGGGAGGATTTGGGGGAAATCAGTGAGAACAGGAAGAGCCTCTGGGGAGGTAAACTTGTGATCTCTGTGCCTCACCTAGCAATCGCTGCAGTCCTCGCCGCATTCCTCGTTCTAGACGCTGCAAAATAAACTGCGGTATTTTGGGACCATGGCTACAGACCCACTCTCGGAGCTTCAGGATGACCTGAACTTGGATGATACCAACGAGTCCCTCAGCCAGCTCAAACTGGCCTCCATAGATGATAAGAACTGGCCAGCAGATGAAGCCCCTGTTTTTCCCAAATCAGGTAAGTATCCTGCTTGCTTGGGGTCTGGGTTTTGGCCAAAAAGGAATTGCATTGTGGTCATATCTACATATACAGAGAGCCCCAGCTCTGTTCTGAAGCTTTATAGACACATTAATCGTGCACCACACCCAAGTAAATTAGCCCTGACATTGAGCAGCATTAAAAAGCTCAGAGCCAGCTGATGTAAATATACTCTTCTCAGCCCTGTGGTTGGCTGCACTTTGGTGCTGACAATACAGACATGCTGTAAGTCCTTGAATGTCCTCTATTATGTTTTTTTGCAGGATAGTGTGACCTTCCTGAGTGGAAGAGTCTTGAACTTCCATGGGGGAGGTGGGGCTGGTGATCTGAGTTGTTGCTCTGAAATCCTGTGCTATGGACTGCTGCCCAGATTGGACAGGAAAATTAGCCGAAGGGCATATAGGATGGCCATCCATCAAGGGACGATGTTAAGATCCTCCTGCTCTGAAAAGCCGTGATGGTGCCCTTGGCACTTGGGTTTTGACCTTTGTGAATGTTTGTGGAATATCTGAACAGTCATTTTTGAGAGAGTGTGCAGTCTGAGGGACATGTATGGACCTCATGGGATTGACTAGCCTCTTCATTGCTGCTCTTGCCCCCTCAGAATTTCAAAGGTGGGTTTCCGAGGTGGACAGGTGCGTGCATTAGTCCCTCCCATGTCAAAGAGCCATTTTTTCTCATCCCTCTATCTCTGTGGTACCCCTTGCCAATGTGCTCCAGACCCCTTCTTCTAATTGCTTGTTCCTTGTGTTTTGTGCAGAGGACTCCAAAGGCTCCCCTGAGCCTGTCACTCACCTGCAGTGGGACGATCCCTACTATGATATCGCCAGGCACCACATTGTGGAAGTAGCAGGTAGCTGTCTTGCTGTTTTCTCCTTTGATGTCTTTGCAGCTGGGCTGAGGAAGTCTTTCTAATGGGGTTGTGGGGGTGTTTGCCAGGCCCAAGTGACAATGGCAGCTGGCATCATAAAGAGAAGGAGCACCAAACTGCTCAAATGATTACACTAAGTGCAATTTTCCGTTGACCTTGGTTAAACTTGTATTTCTTCTTGGCTCTTACTGTCTTGATTATATTATTAGCAGGACTTGGTTGCTTTTGCTGAATTGTTTTAGATGTGGCCTTTGACTATATCCTGTGCACAAGGTGTGGTTTTCGCCTGAGAATGCCACAGAAATTACCTAGTTAGGCAGTGCAGCTGCAAGGTCCTCAGCAGACTGAGTAATCCACAGTAGGTCTGGCAACTCTCATATCTGAATGGTCAGAGATTGCCATTCTGTCCAGAAACAACTTTTACTGAAATCTGAAATAGGGGGAATAGGCCCATGTCCCACTGCAGTGAAAAACCTGATCATTCAGGGTCACAAGCATTTGGATTTTATCTATGTGGTTGTCTTACCCATATTATTTTAATTACATCAACCCTTGGCAATTTACTCATGGAGCCTCCATAAGAAAGAGTTTTGGGGTTAGTTTTTAGGTTGCTGTGGTAAAGCTGAGGGAAGGCTAATCCCAGTTTGTCTTGCGTTTCTTGGTTGTTGTTTGTTTTTTTTTTTAAAAAAGTGCCTCTTCAGCCTGTTCTGACTTGATTGACGCTTCCTCCTTGGTTATCTGTAGCCACCTACTACCCCTCCTATTGCCATTTTTCTGTGCCTCGGTCCCTGCCTCACACGTGAATTTGCAGCAAAGCAGAGGCACAAGCTGGAGTCCTCCTGGTTCAGGGTTGTTCTGCAGCAGGGTTTGACCACAGACATTGTCTTTTCTGGGCTGTCTTTTAGAATGAGCTTTCTTTCTCCTTAACCTCTCATCTTGCATCTTTCCGGATGAAATGATAATGGCAAACTCAAAACTTTGTTGTCCTTTGTCTGCTGTGTGCTTCTTGGCTGCTCAGGTTGACAGGCCAGGTGTTCAGCGTCTTGCAGATTTGCCACGAGTGCTTTCATTTGCAAATGTGTTACTAACCTTCTTTTCCATGGGACTGAAGTTTCAGGACTGGGGTTTAGAGAGGTCTGCACCCTGGTCTCCCTGTTGCTTAAACTGGGAAGGGACAGATGAGTGGACTCCACCATTTCAGTGGTAATAGCTAGAATATTTGGAATGTGAAGGGCAGAGGTAACTGGTGTTTCTGGACTCTGGGAGCTCTTGGGTTAAATGATACTGTTGTTCACTTCAGACAGAGCTTCAGACAGAGTGCTTAGCAGGGAGTTTAGATCAGAGACATTGATAAGACTGGAATGCCAGCCCAAACTAAGGATATACTTTGTGTGCTGCCTCCTGATATAAGCACTAGTCCTTCTGCGGGATTTCTTTTCCGACTGTTAACATGATATTTTTTTCCCAAGCTTTCCGAGTGTCACTCCAGTGGAGGTATGTCTGTCTCCGGGGCTGTTGGAATGCGGCCATTTGACACGTTGTCTAGGATAGCAAATGAAGAATTATCTAATTCGAGGTGGTGTGATGGCTGACTGGGAGGTCTGCCTGCATTCTGAACCAGAACTCTTCCCCGTTGTGCTTTAAATTTGTGTTTCTAGTGAGCTCTCTGTGTAGTGCAGAAGCAGCTCAGAGAAGCTTCTGTCGGCTGCTTCTGGCCAGTTTTTACCAGTAGACAATTTATCTGAAAGCCTGTGATGGTCCCCACACACAGACCAGGGTGCAATGCCTTTCTGGGCGTCAGAAGGGCTAGTAGAACAGCTCCAGATAGTGGGTTTGCTGTCCCCTAGTTTTGAGACTCCCTGGTGTCGCATCTGCAAGCACAATTTATGAAACTGATCAAAGGGGCCTGAGTTGTAATCTGGGTTCTGGGGTGAAGCTGTTTGTTCAGTTTTCTTGGTCAATAATTAATAACATTAACTGTTCGGAGAATCAGACAGGGTAATGTTCTCTCTGGGCTGTTGTTGAAGGCAAACAATCTGGGAAAATCTGGGAAAATGCTATTAGAAGTAGCCTGGAGAATCAAAATCCCACTGGAGCATTAATATGAAACTGTTTGAATCTGGCTGTACTGACAAGTTATGCTTGTCAGCACCTTCAGGTGCAATGAACGCTCACCACGCTGAGCCTGAAACAGAATAGCTCAGTTCTCTTGTAAATATTAGCAAATGGCAGCAGATGAAGGGTGGTTTTATCCATTCTGCTGATTTATGAGCTTTCTCTTCCCCGTCCTTCTCTGTTCTGCACTTCAGAGCAGAAAGCATATGGCTGTTTCTGCCTTCCCTAAAATAGATTCTGGGATGATGATGCTATTTTGAGACAAAAGCAGAAGGCTGGTTCCCATCCTCAGGCTGAACTCCATGATCCCAGGGTTATCCTGTGTGGTCAGAAAAATAATTACTTCTTGTGGAATGAATACATAGTGTTAATAACTTTTTAAAAGCCCAGTTTTGGTGACAAAAAATTAGTTCACTCATTTTCTAGCTGACCTTAATTTCTGATTCAGTTCAAGGAATGCTGGATTTGAATACCCTGGCTATCTGGCCTAAAGAGGGAAAATAATATGGAAAAACATTTTGCAGAATTTTTTCGAAAAATAAGTCTTCTAGTTTTGTTTTTCACTTTAGAATAGTGTAGAAGTTTCATGGGGACCCTCCTTTGTGCCCTCCTGTCTCTTCTGTCCGTGAGCAGGCATGTCACGGCTGTCCTGTGTGGTGGTGTGTCCCGGGAAGGTGGCAGCACAAGGCATCTAGCCCACGGTTCCGAGGGAGTGCCATGACATTGTTACAAATCAGAGTATTTTAGTTTTGGGAAACCTTTTGGTTCTGGGATTCAATGCTTTTCTAAAGGAAAGAGATGATACTCTGCCCGTCCTTTCAGACCTGCCTTAAGGTATGTGTTTTTGGAGTGTTTTGCGCAGGTTTTGGAGAGGTCTCTGTGTGATTGTGCTCTTCTTGACTCGGAGTTCCTCTTTTTGTGAGCATTATAGCAGAGAAACTCATCTCTACATGTGGCTAGAAGTTGGAGCAGAGGCAGCTCAATTTCACTGCACAAACCACTTCTGCAAAGTGGTTTTTTTTTCTTGCTCACATCACATAGCATTTGGAGGAAACGCAGACTTCAGGCTGAAGGCTGTTGAGGAACTAGCCCAAATTTCTGTTATGTTTAAGAGTTTCCTGATAATTCTTACATGGCAAAGGTGCTGCTTCCATGTCCTTTGGGGCTGAGGCAGCCTAGGGTGATGTAATCTTGGCCTTGAATTTCAGTAGAGCCTGAACTGCAAGAGTATGTATGGCAAATAGTAACAGCCTGGAGGAGGTCTCTGGAGATGGCAGTGCCTGCTGGAAGCCTGGGCTGGGTGGGAAGAGCAGGGCTCTTGGCAGCTCTCTGGCAGCGTGTTCCTTCCTCATTCTTCTGCCCAGCCCAAAATACTGGCCTCACCTTTGTGGTCAGTATGCAAACCTACAGCTACAAGGTGCATCATCAGCATTCCCATTTTGCACAATAACTGACCTGTTTCCTTTTGGGGTAAGAAAAGTGGGACTTATCATATGATTGGCGTCTGAATTTTCTGCTGCTGTGGAGGCTAGAAGTTGGTGTAGCAGTTCAGGAGAGCAACCATCACGATTTACTTCAGCTATGTAGTTCCTGCCCAGTGAGTTCAAAGCTTTGCTGAAGCTCAGAGTACGTTTATGCTAGTTTTTGTGGGAAATCTGCTGCCTCATACCATTAATTGGCAGTCTGCAGGACTGCCTTCGCAGAGAAGGCGTGATGCTAGTGTGTGTAAGACCTGTGACTGAAGTGGGAAAGCAAGGTGGAGAGCTGGGGGTGTACCTTCTTGTGTGTTACTAGGTTGAAACTGCAGTTTCACCAGTGAATCTCTTTTCAGTGGTGAATCTAGTACCAAACCTACCCGAAAAGCATTGTGACCGGCTGTTGGCTGCAGGGGCCAATGTTGTAACTAGTGCTGATGATTTGTTGTTGCTGTCGGTGATTGACATGGGGAGCTAAAAGCAGTTTTGGAGCACCAGTAGCTGTTGTTTCATTAAGCAGGCAAAGGTAGAAGCTGCAGACAAAACTTCTGTTGAAAGTGTGTTGCAGTGTGTCTTTGGTGGCTAATGGGCTCAGTAGAGGCCTCCGATAACAAGAGTCCTTTTCCCTTCCAGTATGGTACATTATTATCATCTCTTTTAATACAGAGTGCCCGCATTTCTGCTGGTTCTGACTTTGATTTTTTTTTTTTGTCTTAAAAAGCATATTTGTATGATACAGAATGATGAGTTGCTTCTGTAGAATTGGGCCCATCCAAATCAAGCCGAGCTTGTGCACCATGTTTTAACATGCAAGATCAAGGGAATGGAGAGTTTCTAAGGGATTCTAAGTTTCTAGGGGAGATCAAGGGAATGGAAAGTGTCTTTCTAGAGCCCTGCTCAAGCTTCTGTCTTGATAGGCCCATGTGGGCCTCTTGAGTATATAGCTGTGAGAGTGATGGAGAAGGGGCTGGGCATGGCAAGAAATGCCTTTGTGGACCCCTCCCTGCCCAAAGGAACCTTTTTTCCTAATTGGCAGTTTATTTTATTACTCAATCTACTAAATTACTTTTTTAAAAAATAAGCTATGGGTGTGTTGAAGATCTCAATTGTCCCCATTTTCAGCTTATTTGTGAAATTCAGCTTCTTGCAAAACAGTCTGTTGGATGAGTTATTCGTATGGTATGATGCCATTTTCTATACACTTCTGAAGTTGTTCAGGGGACTTCGACATTCAGAATTAGTTTTGTTTAACCCTTTTAAAAGTGGCAGTATGACAGTTGCTATTTTGGTGGTTGGGGAAGTGTAACAGTAAGGGCCAGAAATTTGACTGTGATTATACAGAATTAGTTGCAAGTTCAAGAAAGAGACTCAGAAATCATGGATTGCTGTTACCGCCTCTAATTGTTAGATAAACTGTCTTTAGAGAGGAGCATGGAGGAAAAATGAAATAGAAAGAGCTTGACTGCTGCAAGACAGCAACTAAATACATCCCAGCATCAATCTGGGTAGACTCTGAGACGTTATCCTCAATATTACTTTCTGGGGAAGGATGCGAAGCTTGGTTTGCTATAACTTTGTTTCTGTTCCTCCAGACCAGGGTGGACTTGATGAGGCCCAACCAGGTAGGTAGATTTTTTGTGGCGCTAACATTTGATACTGTAGATCATGGTATTCCTTTAGCATGACCGTGGCCTGTAGCTGGACTGTCTCAGGGGAGCCCAAACTTTGCTCAGCCTTAGGCTGCACTGGCAACTTTTCAGGAGTCCAAAGGCTGCACAAAATTGTCGTCTGAGGGCTGCACCTCTGCCTTGGGCACAGCAGAATCATCTGAGCCAAATTTGACGTGTGGGCTTTACTTTGGGCACTTTGGGGCTCTTTGGGTCTCAGTGTAAATCCTGATCCTCTTCTGTCATGGTGGTGGCCTGCTTGGACCAGTTCAGTTTGAACTCAAATTTACCTTGTTGTCATGTGTGCTTTGGAAGTTCATCCTAGGATTCCTTCATATGATCTGCTGCTGTGCTCACGTGCTAAGCAGCTGGCGCTCAAACTGGATTCTTCAGCTGAAAGCAACTGTTATCTGTTTCTTCTCCATTTGGCTGCAGGATTGTTGTGTTTTGGTAACTTGTTTCTCATTCTAGCCTGAAGCTGTGCTAGACTGCTCTGTGCTTGCTGAACATTTGTTAAAACTCTCTGGACTTCATTCCCAAGCCTTAAGAATTTGGCTGCTGGTACTTTCACACTTCTCAGTGTAGATGAAAACTCCTTTTGGTGTGAAATTCTCTCTGTGTTTCTGAACAGCAGGCCAAGACCTTCACACAGTCGGTAGAAATGCTGATCTTCACTGCCTCATTATGTGGGCTCTTCTCCCCCATGTACCATTCTCTCAGGCATCCTCCCATTTTGCATTCTTTAACCTGACCCTCTAGTACATCTTGTATCAGTTAGTGCTGTAGTCATTTGGTAAGGCTTTATGATTCTGGCAGTGTTTGGATATTGGGAATATCTAGGTGGAAGTTGTCATGTATTAAAATACTTCTACTTTGAGCTCCTTACCTTTTCCTGAGGGGCTAAATTTACTTTTGAATTCAACAGACAACTAAAATCTACTATACTTAAACACTGCCCAACTGTGTCATAAGCTTGGCAGGAACCTGAAATTACTGAGTTTTTTTTACTGACAGTGGCTCTGATAAACATCTTAAGCTTTGTGAAACTTGTGTAGTAATGTTCCAGAATGATATATCGTGTCCTCTCCTTGACCCTGAACTCTGTTAGCTTTGCTGTTTTACCAGTAACACTAGCTTTTGGTGGCAGGTTTTATCCGTTTGCATTCTCTCAAGTCTCAAAGTACCAGGATATTCTCATTTGAATCTTTCATTGAGGTGGGCCCTCAACTGAGGGTACCTGATGAAGGTAGGAATGAGCAGCATCCCTGGACTGCATTTATGCTGCCAGTGAGTAGTACGACAGCCTCCAATCATGGCATAAAGGCTAACAGATAAATTTCAGGAGAAGTACCTAGAAATACATAGTAGGTTTTGCAAGTCAAGTGTGTATTTTCTGGTTGGCTGTACATTAATAAAGTCCTATCTCAGGACAGTACTGCTACCTTAATATGAGTTTTTTGCTCTGATACATTTGTATTGCTGCAGGTTTCAATCTGAAACATGAGCCTCAGTGTTTAAACTTCAGCCCTTTTAGAAGTATGGTCCTGCACTGATGGCTTGGAACCAGAGCAGGGACGTTCCTTGCCCCTTGTTTCAGGAGGGCACTGGAAGCACTGTTCTTTGGGTGAGAGGAAAAACTGAGTTTGGGCCTTAAAAGCACCATAACAATGTTCAGGAGAATTAGCATGTCCATCAGTGCTACAAGTTAGTATCTCTTTAGATGAGCAGCTGTCTTGACTGGAGAGGCTTTGCATATTGTCTACTGGCTTTGCTCTTTGTTGTTAAAAAAATACATATCTGAATTTCATCCTGTAGGGAGATAGTTTAATTCCAGTGTAGATTGAAGGTATTTTTCATGTATGAACTTACTCACAAAGGTCTGCACATTGTTGGGGTGCTCTGTGAGTACTGATGGTATTTAATTGCTTCTTTGTTGGTTTGTTGTTAACTGTTGAGCATTCCTCACCTGGGAGAGGAAGGAGACAGCCCAGGAAGCTGAGTGATTACTTCATGGTCTATAGTTGTGTTCAGTGGAGACTTCAGCTATTTGCAATTGCAAACGAGAGGTGAAAACCTAGATACATAAGTTTAATATTGCAAACAGGGAAACAAACAGTGCAAGGGATGGAGCATCTGGGAAAGATCAAACACTGTAAGAATCTGTTCGGTTGGAGGCAGAGAGGCCACCTGCAGGCATTTTCCTCCAGCAGCCAAGAATACATGGAATGGGCTTTAGGTTCTTGTTTATAAATTGGAACAACTAATTGTTCAGCTTTGATGCTGAATTTTGAATTTTGTCATGTCTGGATGAACTAGACTGATCTGATATATGTCAGGTGGGAACAAGATTGACGGTTGGTTGTTTTGAAAGTATCTATGTTGACAGGCTGAGCCCAGTGTGATGAAACTGGAGTGAAACCCAGAAGTCAGTAATGGGCATGCTGGTTCCTGTGTAGGTCTTGTGCATAAGTTCATTCTGATTTGGAAGGCAAAATGGGCCACGCCTTTTTCAGTCATCCAGAGGACTGTGGATTATCTTTTGGTGTACTTGGCCCTGGAAATCATCCAGGGAAAACATGCCATCTCTCCTTTGGCAGCATCATGGATCTTTTGTTTTTCTTTACCAGCAATATAAGGAACAAGGTTCTAGACTTTGCATAGGCTCTGCCATAGGCTTTCATGTCATTCCAGAGGAAAGTGTTTAAGCTCTGTGGTTCCTGACTTGTCAGATCCGGAAATTGGTTCCCAGGAGCCTGAGCTGAGTCTGAGGCCACCCACACCATCACATGAACATGGTGCTGTACTGCAGTTCTTCAGAACCATGGCCTGCCTTGATAAAGTTTGCAGTCTGCTTCTGGCCCTCAGACCATCCACTCTGTGAAATGCAGCCTCTCAGTTAACTGGAGATAGCAGCTATTCTGACTTTAGCACGGAGCTAGGATCTGCAAAGTTCTGTAGTCTTTCTGACCAGTCTCTTTCATCACTACAGAACTCAACAGGTTCTCAGATGCTATCGTCTTCTTGCTGCTCTGTGCAGGCAGGACCCTTTGTTTTCCAGGTGCAGACATACAGGTGGCTCAAGACCACTGGGAAGGGTCACAATATGCCATATTCCCTGTCCAGGACTTTGTAGCCTGCACTTTTGTTTTATAGACAGCTTAGGTGTGTTAGACCCAGCCTTAAAGCTCATAACAAGCTACCAAGAAACTCTGGGCTAGGCAGAGAGTGGGCTACCGTGGGATATGCAATGTGATGTTGGTCTTGTGGCCTGGCTGTGACTGTATCTGGTTGTTCCAGATGAGCCTTGCATCACTCTCTTCTAGTCCTGCATTCTGGGTCGTCCGTCCTCCCTAATTGCCCCTTACCTCCGCATGTCTATGTCAATGTGATGGCCTATGCCACCCCTTTCTGGTCTGTACCTAGTGCTGCCTCAGTGTCCCTAGCTTTTGTAGAGGTTCTGGCTTGTGTGCATCAGTAAATTCTGTCTCTTGTGTTGTTTGGTAAGTAACTTGAAGATGGGACCTGCAAGGGGAAAATATAAGTGAACAAGTAGCAAAAAAATATGTTCTTCTGGCCAGGATGGGGGTAAAAGAGGGTTAGTGGCATCTTGATGTCATGGCTGGTGTGCGTCAGTTCTCTGGCTGCCATTTGCAGCACCAAGTGGTCATCTTTTACTAACAGGCAGCGTTCCCAGAAACCTCAGGTTTGCTGTTTGAGATCTCAGTTGCTGCATGGCAAGTGTAACCAAGCAGTAGTTGAGGGCCAGAGCCCATGTAAAGGTGAGAAAACAGCTGCATGCTTTGAATATTGTAAATTGGTGTGGGAAAAACGATATTTTTCAAGAGGAATGATGTATTGCAGGGCTGTCCTGCATAACAGCCATCCTTGCTGCTTTTCTGTGCTGTGGTCTCTATGAGATGGTTGTGCTGTAGGGGAGGAAGGAGGGTGGTGCTGAGTGTAACCTCAGTAGCCCCTTCCACTGCTCTATGCTCCTTCTGCTTGACAAGAAAACATAGCTCTTGGAGCAGGGTGAGTAGCAAGAAAGATCAGAAGACTTTAACCCTTCACACTAAAGGGACCATTTAATCTGAACTGCTGTTAAAATGGAAATGGATTGGGTGATGTGTCTGGGAGAGAACCAGACTTTCCTTCAAATTCCATGTGGCCAAAAGAGTTGTGACCTGATTCTTACCTAAATCTCTCAGTTCCCTTAGCATGTCTGCTAAGCTTGTCCATGCCCATCTGCTTGGGTTTTGTTCACGGGGCTGAGATCTCTGCTGGCAGAAGTCCACTGATGTATGAAGACTTACTTTGGGGAAAACTTGGCTTGTTGTCTCTGAAGCCTCAAGTGGTGGCTAGGAGGGTGTCCTCCCTGAGATGAGGTTATTTGGCTCCAGTGTCATGGGGTCTGTTTTCTGATGGGTTTTACATAGAATGCTTTGTTGTGCCGCACTTTGCAGCTCCTTCCAGCTCAGGTTGGAAAAATATCTCTGTGGATGGAGAATCTAGGAAGCAGTGAACAGCTTGTTCTGCAGTCCCCCTGGAGAATCCAGCAGCCCATTTGGTCCATCTGTAGAAGAGGCTTATGATGGTGCTTGCTTCTCACCTCTGAGATGTGGCTGGGACTACCCTGCTTCTAGGAGTTTCTTGGTTTCCAGGGTATGAAATGGCTTTGTTCTGTGTGCAGGACTAAGCTTCAGGTGAAGCAAAAACCAAAAGCACCAGGCCACAAGAAGTTAGTCTGAGACTGTGTGCAGGATGGAAAGAATGGTCAATGTGCCTGTGAGGGGCAGTTTTCCCTGTGCCTCCCTGGGCACTCATGCATCAGGAGCAGTGCCCAGGGGCAGCATTGCAGGATTAGTGCATGCTCTGAGCACACTTTGTACTTGAGGCCTCCATCCCTATGTGCCCTGAGGCATCCTGGCTTCCAGTCCTTTCACTTTGTTCAGGCCAGAGCGTGGTCTCTGTTCTCCATTCGCTTGTTGACTTGGTGTTCAGGTTTCTGCTTCCATACTAGGCTCACAGTAATGGCTGAAAATCAGGTTTAGCTTTGCTGGCAGCTGTGGCAATTCAGACTTTGGCCTCGTTATGGCAGTTTCCCATTCTCTGTTTACCCCTTGCTGCCAAGACCACAATGTAGTCCTTAAACTCCCTGTAATCTCTGGCATTTCATCTGCAGGTGATGACAAATATGGAAGGAAAGTAATTTTGTTCAGTGCCTGCCGGATGCCCCCAAGTCATCAACTTGATCACGTGAAACTGCTGGGGTGAGTAGTGTTTTAGGAGGCTGCTGTTAACTTCTTAAGCCTGACATAATTCCCAATTGCTGGACTTCTGGGGCCAGATCTATCTGCAATAGCTTCTTTAGCTGGACATGTCCTCCCAAAGTGCTTACCTCCACTGCTGGGGATGCAAATCCTCTGTTAGGGCACTCAAAAAGGGAGTCTCAAAGGGAGGATGATACTTTCTGTGGCAAAGCATGAAGTGAGTTCAGCAGTTGTCTCTTCTTAGGTACCTGAAATTCACACTGGACCAGTATGTGGAGAGTGATTACACACTGGTGTACCTGCACCATGGCCTGACCAGTGAGAACAAGCCATCCCTGAGCTGGCTGCGGGATGCCTACAGGGAATTTGATCGCAAGTGAGTAAGACTGCAGCAAGCAAGGATGTAACATGCTGTTCTGTAGCCTAACATAGAAGATCTTCTCTAGCCCCCCCCATGTAGCTTGGTGATCTTAATTTGCTGTCATGTATTTCTGCTGCTTATGGAGGTGGGTTGTTGTTTAACGCAGGCTGAATCATGGGATAAACAATTCCTTCTGTAGTTACATGCTTTAGGCCAACAAAGCAAGCAGCAAAACCAGGACCCAGTGCAAGTGTGTCAGCCCCGTGGTATAATTGTTGCTTCCTGGTGAGGATGCTCACTGCTTCTCAGTGAATCTTGGAATACAGTAGAGCGTGCCCTCAGGCTGCTGAGTGGCCTGACACAGCTACGAAGCATGGGAGAGCAGAGGCTGTGGGTGCTGGGGACTGGGGAGGCTCAGTGCAAAAGGAACGGAGCACCCAGGGTGCCTTAATCGTGTGGAAGGGTTGGTTCCTTTGCTTCAAAGTGCAGCTCATCCTTATACAGCTTCTCTTGGCAGGTACAAGAAGAACATCAAGGCCTTGTATATCGTGCACCCAACCATGTTCATCAAGACCCTGCTGATTCTCTTCAAGCCTCTGATCAGGTAGGAAGGGCTATAGGAGACTCACATCCTCACGCTGCAGGGGAATAATGGGGCATTCTCAGGGAGGCACAAGACAATCCCAGGCAGCCGAGCCTACCCTAAAGTCTCTCACCCCGTGCTATCTTCTGTTTCTGAGCTCAGAAATATTTGGGCACAAGAATTACTGCTCTGGGAATCTACAGAGTTTGCAGCTCTGTGCTGCTCCCTTTCTATCTAGCCAAGTGGAAATTAAGTGTTGCAAGCTCTGCTAATAGTGGAACAGGAAGCGAGAGCATCAGTCTAAATTATATTTAATTCATTGTGTTGATGGTGAAATCCTGACTGTAAAATAATTGAAACCAAACCTTTCTCCAGCCTATTACTGAATTTAGGAAGGAGAAATCCGGTGTTTTAGGGAGCCTGCTGCTGCTAGGGCTTCTCATGTTACCTGGGAAGACTTGGCATCTCCTGGTAAAATAGATGGAGTTGGAGAGCAGTGTGGGTGATATCGCTGCTGCTCAGCCATACCTGCCCTTTTGCCCCATTGATGTCTCTTGCAGACCCCTGTTCTCCTTGCCTGTAAGAAGTCCATTCTGATACTGGTTTTCCTGATTCCTCACATACCTTGTTTCTCTTGTTTTTCAGCTTTAAGTTTGGACGGAAGATTTTTTATGTGAACTTCCTTAGTGAGCTGGAGGAGTATGTGAAGCTGGAACAGTTGGGCATCCCAAGCCCAGTGCTGAAGTGAGAATGCTACCTGTCTCCCATTTGCTTAGGGCTCTGTGGGAGGGGACCTTTCTAGAGGAATGTCGAGGGGTGGAAGAGCTTGTACCACTCAGGCAGTGGTTTTGGAGGGAGTGGTGACAAGTTGCCTTAAAGTGTATTGTTTCTCTCCATGCTCCTTCCCGTGTGTCCTTGGCCCCAGTGCCCAGTTCTCTCCTCAAGTAAAATCCCCTCCAGTGGAGCACCCACCCTGCCTCTCCCATTCTCCCCTCAGAGGCTTTCTGCAAGCTGCTGACCTAGAGCTCATGGTGCACAGCTGCTGCATCTGGGCACCTGATTTGCTTGCTCTGCACATTCCAGCTTGTCTTTGGGGCTTCCTAAAGTTGCCACAATCTCAGTCCCACCAGACTGACACACACATGCAACTGTCTCATCACAAGCAATGCTGTCCTGGCCTCCTGCCCATGTTGCCTGTCATCCTCAGCTGCTCCAGCTTCTGATTCCAGATAGATATTCCTTTCTCCCTGCTTTTCTTCTGGCAACCAGATGTTTGTTCTTGTTGCCCTTGTGCTCCAGAGCTGCCTGTGCTGGTTTTGCATCGGTGGAATCAACCATGCTAGGCTGGACCTGTTACCAGTGGGTGTGCAGTGGGTCATGGGCAGTGCTGGGTTCATGCTCTTTCTGGAAGGTGGAGTAGCTTTTTACTAGTTTGTGTTTTGCCACAGACATGATGAATATCTGAGGTCCCTGCAGAAACCTTCACAAGTGCCCCAGAAATCAACACCCCCACGCCCACCACTGCCAAACCAGCAGTTTGGAGTCTCGCTCCAGCAGTGAGTATCTCTGGATTGTGTTGCTTTTGCCCAGACTTGCTTGATACGAGGTCACTGTATATATAACTGAAGAGCAGCAAAAGTGGCTGTAAAATTTCATGCAGTTCAGACTTCCTACAAAGGAACTGTGCTAATGTCCAGATGCTGACTGACAGTTCAGTTCCAGCCTCTTGATTCCCTTGGCTAGATTGTAATTTTTTTTTTTTTTTTTCTGCAGCTAAGGGTCACTAAGAGAGGAGCAAAATAAGGGCCATGGGGATGGCTTTATGCCACTAGAAACTTCCTTTAAACAAAGGAGGTCTGTGGAAGGCAGATGGAGGTATCTTTAGGGCTCTGTTATTTTGATTGAGCAGTGCTGCAGATCTGTTTCTTAGTTTTTTCCATATCATAAATTCTATTTTAAAACCACTTCCATTCACCCTTGTACTGACTCCCACCCCCCTTCCTGCACAGTGACACAGCCGAACACAGCCATGGGCAAGGGCTAGTGATACTGGCTAAGTGTTGAAGGTATTTTTAACTTTGAGTGTGATTTGCCTCCATGGGGAATGAGGAGGAGCCAGTACTGTGTTGTCAGACAGATCCTCTAAAACGATCTGGGAATGCATTCCCCAGCTCCAGCATAACATTTCTAAACGTAACCCCGTGGCGCTGTGCACCTGAGATTGTTAGTAGCCTGAGAGGGGTGAACATGCTCTCAAGTGGTATAGACAATCAAAGGTGAGGGTGGCAGTGGCTTCACTAGGTCTTCTCTGACAGCCATTGGGTTGATATATCTTCCGCTGCAGGAGTGGGGTGGGTATACTTACCCCATCTGTATTTCTCTCATGCATCAGCTTCTTTCTGCCCCTGCTGCCATGGGGAAAGAAAAAGGAAGCTCAGCTCTTTTCACCTGATTCAGAACTAGCAGCCTTGCCTTCTGGGAACCCCTTTGCCTTGGCATCTACAGGGTGTGATTTTTACAGAATATAGATAAATATTCCTGTGGTGTAGTAAAGAGCTCATACTTGCTCCAGTGAGTAGTGTAGCACAATGGGTGAAGAGGAGAGAAGGCTGGAATCATGTCTGAACCAGGGACTGTGATAGCAAGATCTTACGTGGTAGAGTTTGCGTGGGCAACGTCAGGACTCTGGGGCTGCATGCAAGGCAAGAAGGACCCGTCACCTGTAACCTTTTGTCTCTTCCTGCAGCCTCAGGGAGAAGAGCCCGGATCAGTCTCCTGTTCCTCTGGTGGTCAGAGACACCATTGCTCATTTGCAGGAGCATGGTAAGCATTCAGGGGAAGCTGCAGCCCCTCTTAATTCCATGTCAGTGGTCTCTCCTCCAGCCAAGTTCCCATCCAGAGTGTGGTAGGATAAACAGCAGTCTAGCATAAGGTGTAAAGGCCTGAAGTAGGTGAGTTAGCCTTCAAGAGAGATTGTGCAGGACTTAGGAGACCTCTTGCCTCCAGTCATCTACGCTCATGCTTGTATAAGTATATCCTTTGCTTAGTAGTGGAAGCAGAAACAATTGCTGTACTCTAAAAAAGGGACTTGTTAACATCTGCCTGAACACCCCCCAGCATGGATTTAGGATTGTTAAGACCAGCGTTTTTAGCCTCTCACATGGCTGATGTTTCTTCTCCATCTGCTCTCACTTCACAGCTCTTACTACAGAGGGGGTTTTCCGAAGATCAGCAAATACACAGGTTGTCAGGGAGGTCCAGCAAAAATACAACATAGGTAAGTGCCCAAACTTAGCAAAGCACCTCTCATTCCCTAACTACTGCTGTCCAACTGGAACGGTGTTGGGACTAGTCCGTCGTGGCTCCTCTTCTTTTCTGAGAGGCCTCTAGGTGAGGCCCCATCAGCGTATGACCTGAGTTGCCGGGGAGAAGCATCTGATACTTCTGCTGTGTGGAAAGCGTATTCCTTCTCACTTAAATTCCCCTTGCTGCCCTTTTCCTTCCTGAAAATTTCCCTGTTTCTCGGTGTGGGATATACCACCTTAGTCTGATTATACTAGAGGGACCAAAGATAACCAGGAAGAAACTTGGTATTGTTTCATTCGATGGCTTCTAAAGATGTAGTGCTGGTTTCTGCAGTTCTTTGCATATGCTTTTGGGACACATTTTTCCACTCTGCTAGAAGGTGTGGAGCTGCAGTAGCCTCTCTGTGTTCTTCTTTAAAATACTGCTTCCCTAGTTCTGGGCTCTGACCATCATGGGCCATTCTTTGTCTGGAGGATGTCCTGCTTTGGCCAGTGAGCACTGAGTCTCTGCTTTACTTTCTCAGGTGTGCCTGTAGATTTCCAGCAGTATGAAGATGTCCACCTCCCTGCTGTGATCCTCAAGACCTTCTTGAGGGAGCTCCCTGAGCCCCTCCTCACTTTTGGCCTCTACAGCCACGTTGTCAGCTTCCAGAGTGAGTTATAACAAGTGTGCTACTCCCCAGACGTTGCCCTGGCACTTTGTCCTTTGCAGAGAGGGGCAGTCCTGCATGGGATTCCCTGTGTCTGCAAGCAGGGATTTCATCAGGGTGGGTGCTGAGGATTCCTCATGGACCTGCTTGTCCTGTCTTTCTTGATATTTTTTTAGGTGTGGAGGAGGTGAATCGTGTGGAGGTTGTTCGCAAAACGCTCCAGACTCTGCCAGAAGAAAACTACCAAGTGCTCCGTTTACTGACAGCCTTTCTGGTGCAGGTGAGCTGCTCTAAAGGTGGGCAGTCATATTCTAGTTTGGTTGCCACTGCCTTGCATCAGCTTTTTGATTCCCTATTCCCTCTTTTCCTTTGAGAGGAAATGAGTCTCATGCTAGGAGATTGTCTTTCTTTATCTTCTTGTTATACAGAGATCAAGAATGATCATGATGAACTAGCCTAAGCAGTTGCTTTTCATAATGCTGAGAGGTGCAGGCAGGCATTAAGCTCGTGTGGTCTGTTCCAGGGCGGCAGAAAGCTCCCCAGGGTGGAGGTATAACTGCAAATTAGCCAAGTAGGAGATTAGATGAGAAGAGGGGCCCTACAGAACTTTCAACTGCCAGGAAAGCCACTGCAAGGCTATTCCAGTAAGAGGGAAGATCATTTTGGTTTGAGTGATGATCTGGACCGTAGAGATACTGGCTGACAGTGCTCTTGGTCCTGTTGTTATGACATGGCCTGGTGGTTGAGCCATAGCATCAAATGACAAGATACTGCTCCTCACCTTCTGAATGCTGGGTGTCCTGTGTGTTTCCCCCAGCTGTTTTCTGGCAGCAGGCCCTCATCTTCTCTCTTCCCATTTGCCCTTGGGAGTCTGTCAGCTCTGGCTTTGGGGAGGGTAGAGGGCAGCTGCTGTGTTGTTCTGTAGGATTCACAGTGGTCTCTTTTCTTCCCACATAGGTCTCTGCTCACAGTGACAGAAACAAGATGACAAACACCAACCTGGCAGTTGTGTTTGGCCCAAATCTGCTGTGGGCCAAAGATGTAGCCATCACCCTAAAAGCCATCAACCCCATCAATACCTTTACCAAGTTCCTGCTGGACCACCAGAAGGAGCTCTTTGAGGATGTGGAGGCCTGAACCCAGGCCAGCCCACACCAGCACACTGTGCCCACCTTCCCACCTTGTCTTGGAGCTGCGACCAAGCTGTTTCCAGTGCAAAGGGACCATTGATCCTCTGGGTGATGAGCAGAGCGAGGGCTGTGGAGATGGTGGAGAAGGTGTGTAAGTAAGCAAGCAGGAGACCTGCTGCTCCGGCTGTGGAGGGGAGCTGGTCTCCCAACTGCTGGGAGTGGAGTCCTAAACCACCTGCCAGTCTGTGCAGCTCCTCCAGGGCTCATCACCAGTCTGTTGCCCTATCAGATGACCTGCCTGCCTTTCCTTCTTCCTTTACATGCAGTTTTTCTGCCCTCCTGGTTCCTTCCTCAGCAAAGATCTTGTTTGTTTGTTTAAGCTCCCAATAGCCCCAGCTCCCCGTCCTTGCCCCAGCTGGGCTAGGGCAGGCTTGCTGGGTTTTGTGGCAGGGATGTTCTTGCTGCAAGTGCCACCTCTCAGCGCTGAATGTGGGTCCTTCCTTTCCCCAGAGGCACCTACAGCGGGGGAGGGAGCTGGGCAGCCCTTGCGCCTCAGGTAGCAGCATGTCCTGCACTTGCAAACACCTCTCTAGACCCCCTGCCTTTGGCAGGCAAGTGAAGGACAGGCTCACGGCACGTGGGCTGTTTTACCTGTCAGACTCCAATACAAGGAAGCTGAATTTAGCCCAAACTCCTCCGGGGTCACCCACTCCAGGTACTGTTCAGTGTCTGCTGGGGTGTAGTGGGTGAGGTGCCTCCCACAGTTACCCAGCTCAGGTGTGTTGTTCCTCCAGCAGCATTTCCAGCCCGGCTGGGGTGGTTCATGGCAGACCTGGCTGTGCTGGGGTGGGGCTGGCTGGGGCCCTTTGGTAGCTGGTGAGCCTGAAGGGCAGGGAGCAAGTGTCCTGGTGGCACCAAAGGGCTGAACACTATGAGGATCACTGCCTTTCCCTGTGTCAGCAGCACAAGGCCTCTTCTTCCCTGTCAGGCATGTGTATCTGTGCTGACTGGCACAGACCGATTTGGTTAGTTGTCTTTTTGAGCAGATTTTTCTCCAGCACAGTGTAACATGTGGTCTTGTGGGAGGGTCTAGGGACAGGGGCTAACCCTCACCCTGGAGCGCACCAGGCCTGGTTTCTGAATTTCTGCCTAGGTTCTGAGCACTCATGTGCCAAAGCTGTGAGGGAACAGCTATTTGCCAGGGGCTTCGGCCCCATCTCCTCCTCGGTTCATACCTTCCGTCCGTCCTACCATGGAAGCTGCCTCAGATGCATCCTGTATGCCCTGGGCACAGCTGGAGAGAGGCAGGCACAGAGCGGGGTGGGCCGGGAACCTACCCAAAGTAGCTGCAGTACTGTTGGGTTTGGGTTGCAGTGTTCCCGTTATGGAGCTAAAAAAGATCCCTCTGCATCGCCTGGGCCTGGCAGCAGGGTGTTAGGAGGCAGATTCTAGCCTTACGCCACTGGTGTGTTCTGTCTTTGTATCTTGTGCCCTGCATGCCTGGGCCAGTCCTCCCTGCTGCATCTGGCCACAGGGACAAATCTTTTGGACCAAGCAGAACTAATTTTTGAATAGCTACTGCATTCTGAATATAACTTGCTTTTTCATAATATTTTAGCCCGCTTTTAAACGCTGACCAAAGGTCGGTGCCCCAGTTGTAATCAAAATAAGTGACATCTGCTGTGGGAATGATGGAAATTGCTCTTTTTGGTAAGCTCTGGAATGGGGATGGGTGCGAACACGGACAGCTCTGCAGGACAGCGCAGGGCCGGCCAGCTGGCTCTGGAGGAGACACACCGACCCGTGGCTGGGAACAGGGAGCAAGAGATGTTCTAGGAGAGGGCTGGGTCTGATCCCTTCTTGATACCGAGGGACTTTGCCCTCTGGAGGCTACAAGGCTGCTTAGTCTCCCTCTTTCGAGTAGGAGTCTTCCCTGTTTGGCCAGGATATGAGTTGTTTCAGCCTGAACAATTCACATCAGTAACCAAATAAATGTTTTGGAGGTAGAGGTACTCGGCTCCTAATTCACCTGTGATCTCTGCTGGAGTAAGTTAGCGGGGCTGATGTGCTGCAGAGGAGCCATCTGGGATGGACAGTGTGGACAGAGGTGTACTTTGTTTTGAGACAAGGCTTTGTGGGGACGGTGGAAGCTGAAGGAGCCTCGTGCAGCCCCTCTTTTTCCTGCAGGCACCCTGCTCTGTGTAGGCTTCAGTTAGGGGAGAGACTTGGTGCTCTGACAATATCTGCAGCTGACACCATGCCTTGGAGGAAGGGCAAACCCAGCTAACTCCTCCTGGGACAGACAGCCCCAAGGTTGGCAGCTTGGAACGGGAAGCGCCCGTGTGCTGGGGCACGAGGCCTTGGTGCTGGGCACTGCCCCAGCTCCCTGGGCAGGGCAGCACGTTCTGCCCTGCAGAGCACTAAGGACCATTCCCGGCCCAGTAGCGAGGGAAGCAGAGCTGGGGTAGCTCAGCTCTTCTGCCGGGGGAGAGCAGGGAATGTTGCAAGTGTCTGTCTTCTGGATGGAATTTGTTAGTTTGGTGGGTGCTTCTTTTTTTGCCTTTTTTTTTTTAATGAGTTTTTGAAATGTTTTCTTTTTTTTTCAAAATGGAGACTGGTGCATCCCCTGCAGGCAGGGATAAAGCCTGCTCCAGTTCAGTGCCTGCAGGGAGCAGATTTGGAGGGTGTTCAGGAAGCTGCTACTGCTCATGGTGGGAAAGTGCTTGCAAATCCTGGAAGGGACCCAGTGTAAATACCCCCTTTCCTCTGCTGCTCCTCATGCTGGAGCTGCGGGGGGCCCTGGAGCAGGCACAGGAACCAGGGTTGCTTTTGCTTCTGCAGTCTGCTCTCCTGAATGCCTTGTACTGAAATATCCCTCCTGTGACTTGAGCAAGGAACTGGCCTGGGCCTGCCTGCAGCCTGAGCTGGGTGGCCACCAGAACCTGTGTTTGCCAAGGCCAGGGTTACATCCCCTCCTCGCCCGGGCAGCCTCCTCACAGGCAGGGCGCTGCCCGGGCCGGGTTTCTCTGGCACACATAGGTGGGGGGCAGTATCTGATTAGGGTGCTGGTCTTTGTCAGTTTTCTCCTTGCTGTAGAGCTGCCCAAGGGTCTCTTCCCTGGCTTGTCCTTCGGGTTAGCTATTAGCCATTTCTCCCTGTGGGGGTACTTGTTCCACTTCAACCCTCTGCTTTTTTAGCCCCTAGAGCATTCCCCTCTGCTAAGCCTCCTGCTGTCTTAACAGCCTCCAATCGCTCCCTGGCCCAGGCGCGGTGCCCACACCAGAGCTTTTGGGTGGTGCGGGGGCAGGGTTGGGGCCACCTGGATGCCTTGTGGCGATGTTTGATAATTTGAGAGGGAGCTGAGGGCCCGTTTGGTCCCTGTTTCCTCTTTTATGCACGGGGGCTCCTGTGCAAAATTTTTGGCTTTGCTTTTGTTGCTGGTGTTCCCTGCCTTCTTTTCTGTTGATGTTTGTCAGGTGCAGGGCTGGGGTTTTCACGGTTCACGTTGTTTATTTCCTTCTAATCCACACCAATCTTATATTTCACAGTTTGCACTTTTTGTATTTCAATAAAAATGAAAATGTAATCCCAGATCTGGGTGTGTCTGTCAAGTGGCAGCCGCTGTGGCACATCTACAAGAACCAGAAATAAGGCTGGCTGCGCTGCCAACCACAACTGTGCAGAGAGGGTGGAAAGCGAGTATGAAATGCCTCCGATGTGAGTAACTCTGGGAAGAAATACTAGTTTGGAGGAGCCTCAAGCTGGAAACACTAATCAAACAAAAAATGAAGTATTTCAAGTTTGGTTCTTTCCTGACCAGGACTGGGCTTCTGTGTTACTGTCTCCCTGTCAACAACGAGGACTGCCCTTTCCCAGGGGCGGACCCAGGCAGCTGCACGGGTTGTGGCATCACCAGGGGGCAAGTGAGAGCCACCTGCAGGCTCCCCACTGGGATTAGCTGGCTGAGTTTATCCTGTGGCCAGGGGATCTGTGCCGCAGAGGCCTGTGCCTTCCCAGCTCAGCTGATGTGGATCGCCAGCTCCGCAGTGTACGATAGCCTTCTGGTTAGGACCGCTGCCCTTCCCCCCTGGATCCATGTACAGTTACCTGCCGTTTCCTAAAGACACTGTAATTAGCCAGTTACAGCAGCAAGCTTTTTGGCTAGCAGAAAGGCTCTTATATGCAAAGTAATTACTACAATTAGCGATACAGGTGGAGCAACAGGTGAACCCAATAGCAGGTGCAAGAGGAGTGGAAGGGAGAGCGCTGGACCTAAAAGCATCACGGCGGGGCAGTAGCCAGAGCCCTGGCTCCTGGCCTTGTTGCCTTGCTGATGTGTTAATTCTGATCTTAACACTCGCATTTCTAAAGCTGGTGCTGCTCTTCAGTTTTTATTACCAATAAGCCATCCAATTACAGGCTTCCCAGTGTTGCCAGTTCTCCTTTGCATGTTGACTTTACTCCATGTGACTCGTGACAAGCTGTCAGCCATATGCCAGAAGGCAGAGGTATTTTTGGCATCTGTTCACAGATAATACTTTGCATACAGTCCTTGTAGTCTGATTTATTTATTAATTTACCTGCTATAACTGACTGGACAGTAACTCGGCTCTGGAGTTGAGGCGTTTACTACTTGCTATTTCTCTGGGGCTTTTTCAGGTGGATGGTGCTTTTGGCTCTAGGATCTGATTTTTCTACCCCATGGACTGCATTGGCCCCCTGTCAGGGGGCTGCTGCGGTCAGTCGGACTGTACAGCAGTGTCCCCGAGCTCTGGGAGTGCAGCAGCCAGTCCCACGGGGTCGGGGTGACCCGTCACTGCTGTGGCAATGTCTGCTCTGGCCCGCGAGGAGCTTGGGAGCAGGCGGGCCCGTCCCTGCCAGCGGGCTGGAGCTGGCAGGACCTTCGGTGTGTGCAGCCCCACGGACAGGACTTCACACAGCATAAACACCAGCACAACTGGGTGTCTTTTCATGTGGAGCTGCCCGGGAGCCTTAAGGACGTTATTCTGAGAACATTTTTTTTTTTATAAATACATACAATAGGCTCACAGTTGGATAGTATTTGTTCATGACATTGGTGATTAATCATCCTTCTGTGACTGTTTACTTTTTCACTAATTTGCTCATGGTTTTTCCAGTCCCTTGTCTTTACTGGTGACAGAGTGGAGGGTAGAGACTGAAGGCACTGTAGCAAGGCCCAGGTCCCCCAGGACAGTTTATGTGAGTTTATCAGCAATTCATCTCCCTGCGTTGTGCAGTGTCTTTTGTAAGTGCATGAAACAATGCTCATAAATACACACACGTACACGCATGTAATGTAGCGATCAGTATCTGTAAGGTTGCAATGGGATACTCTGTTTGTTGTGTTACCTCCTGGATTAAGATGGCTTTTAATAGTTATTCTTGTTCTCCAAGCTGGAATATTTCCCTTCATAGAAGCTTCCACTGTACTCAGTAATTTTTACTACTTTTTTTTTTTTCCCCCCTTCCTGCCTTTTTATCCACTGTCTCTTCTTTATAATAACCAGATACCCTTTACACTGCAGCTTAACTCAGCAGTTCTTGTATTTACACAGAGATTCTTACCATCTTGTCTCCTTTAAAGGGAAGATGTTGGCACCTTACATGACACTGTGTGTTGTACAGGGGTAACTTAGCTTATCCCAGCCATGAACTACCTGCTGCCAGCATTGCTGCTGGGATACCCACACTAGTTCTCTCTACATCTCATTAGTCTTTTTAACTCTTCTATCAGATCAAAATATTCCCACATTCCTTTTAAGCATGCAGTAGCAACCACGTACAATGCAAATTCTGCTGGTGGTATTTTTTTTATTCTCCTTCTCCCACCCCTGCTGGAGATAAGTGAGTATTTCAGCTGGGGCGGGACATCCAGATAACTTGGTTTCCCAAATCTCTGGGGATGTCACCAGGGCCAGACACTGTGTGAGTGTCCCCCCACACCTGCATTTGGGACCAGCCAGGCACCTCCTCTGTCTCTTCCTCCCTCTCCTCCTCCTAGCAGGGTGCTCTCACCAGGAGCCTGCTGACCACTCCAACTTTAATGCACGGGTACGTTTTACCCTCTGTGTTGGAGCAGCAGCCTGTTCCATCCTGCACTGGCTGACAGGCAGCTCTCTGACCATCCCCTTGCCTGGAGGAGAAGGGAGAGGTTGGGACTGCCCCAGACCTGTCAGTACACCTGGAAAAAAGCAGAATGTTGCTTACGTAAAAGTTTTATTGGAAATTCTTTGAATATTTGAAGTACATTGGAGACTGTTTCCAAAACAATACAATTTAGGAGCCTTCCCCTTCACCCAAAGCATCTGTACATCAGCAGCTCCATCCATACTTAATATAGATTCGAGCAGACAGCTGCTAAACTAAACACCCTTCATAACACGATCTGTGGCAGGCCACAGCAGCAGCTAGATCTTTCCTGAAGCAGAGCATTTGTGCAGTGGTCAGGGAACTTGGAGCCTAGATGTAGCAACTAGGTGTTGAAACTGAGGAATGTCCAGAAAAGAGGCACATAACTCAGCCCTAGAGAATCTCTTTATTGCTATGGCCATCCAGCTCAACACTAGCAGCTTATATAGGCAAGTTTCAGCCTTTTGAAGTAGAAAAAAAAAACGCGCCACACTGACCGTCTGCCTTATGAGATGTGGGAGCTGTAGCCATGTTAGGAACTGCATCAACGCATGACCACAAGGATTTGGCTCAGGAGCCCTTTGGGGCAGGCTGATGAAGTCCAACCTAGTCTGTTTTCCCCGAACACAGCGTGACCCATCTCTGCTGTGCTGCAGGCCAGATGAAATCACTTTCCCAAGCAGAGCCTGTATGTTAAGGCGACAGCAACCACCTTCCTACAAAGCGGCAGAGACCAACTTCCCAAGCAGAGGTGAGTGCCAGGTGATCCATTAATTCCCTGTGTTCCTGCAACCTTCTGTGACACTTTTCACCTGTAAAACAAGGTGGCTCTGGTTGTGGGGATCAAGTATTTGTTAAAGCCCATGTAACTTAAGCCCTCATGAGCTGTTTATCTTGAAAGCTTTCTTACATGTTTGCACATCTTATTTTGCAAGGACTAAGCAATTTCTGTGTGACGCTGCTGAAAAGCTGAACTGGTTGAGTAAGCTAAAAAAGGTCTGGTGGGTAACTTTCCTTCAGTAAATCCCTTACCTAGTTTTAGACCTCACATGGCCTCCCACCAAACAAATCACTCCACAAAAAAGCTGGTAAAGTTCAAAGCCTTGTGTTGCTCTGACCTTGCACTAAGCTCTATTTGGAATTTGGTTCCTTGCTTTAGCAGTCGCACAGAAATAGTGTTGTAGAGTGGTGGGGTTCCCCTGTCGGCTGCAAGCAATCTATTTCACTTGAGAATGCAGCAAAGTTGAAGAAGCTGCCCCATTGCACTTACAAGAAAGCTAGTTACTCAGCCACTCTAAGGAAATTAAGATTGCTCCTCAGTAGGAAGGCAACACAACCCCACTTCTGGAGACAGAAAGAAAAAAAAGAAAAAAGTGTTGTGGGACAGTAAAGGGTCTTGCAGTTGCTCACTCTAGTTATACATGGGAGGAGGAGAGAACCACAAGATGACCTACCTTATCTAAGTTTCTGTTTAGTGTCACTGTTTCTCCTCCCATTGTTACATCAGGCAAAAGACACGCAACAGCCAAATCAACCACAGAGCACCACCAGCCAGTCACGCTGTTGATAGCCAAATAATTACAAAAATAAAGTTTCAGCTAATCAAAAGCCAGCTGATTAAAAAGTACCATAAGCTCCCCAAAAATGTGCTTCTTTAAAGAAGATGCCTTCTGAAGGGCTGAAGAACACAAGCAAATTCATCCACGCCTATCAGAATACAGCTTTTTACCAAGTCCCTGCCACTCCACTCCACCAATGTGTGTGTTTCATTCCATCAGTGGGCCCTGACTGGATGTAATGGACACACAGTCCCCAAAACAGAGTATTATATTAGAATAATCAAGTCTGTCTTAGAAAATAAATATCTTGGATATTTTCTTGCAAAGAGAGACCAGTCTCACTGGCCTTGGTTCCATGGCACACTTGCTGTCTGCAGTGATCCAGGGCAGAATGACCCGCACTACTACATGAAAACAGAACATCTTTTAAATATAGGTTTCTTTAAAAGCAATAAATATTTCTGGATTCTTAAGATCATCTATTAACGATAAAGCAGAGGGTTTGCAAGGGTTAGAGGAAAGAATCTTGGCCTAAGGCTCCTAGTTATGTAACCCTAAAGAAATAGGATTCCTAGTATTTACAGTTACATTTCAGAAGCAGAGACTATGAATTCAGCATCATCACAGCTGCTACGTGCAGGCTGGCCAACAGTCAACACTGGTAAACTCAGTGTGGCCGAGCGCCAGTACGCTCGGGAAGGAAATGTGGAAAGCGCTTCTGTTGTTTCATCCCTGCTTATCAGCCTAACAGGCGGCCTCACGCAAAACAACTGCATAGAGACCCAGTTCCTCAGAAGCAGGAAAACAAAGGTAACTTGTATTACACAGGTCCCAAAGCTGACGTCTCTCCCTGGGCTCCACGCACTCAGACTGAAGTCAGGATGAAATGCCCCGTTCCGCGGAATGGATGTCCTGGACTTCAAACTGTTGAATCTGCTGAACTCACAGACCCTGGAAACGAGCTGAAGCTCTCTATGCTCTAACAGGATCGGAGACTGTAGGAAAAAGTCTGTTAGCAAGAAGCTATACCTAGGGAACTTACACCACAGGACCACGGGAGGAAGCGAATGGTAACTTTTCACAAAGCCCCTCCACACAGAACAAAAACTGAGGAGAGAATATGTTTCACCAATTGGAGTTTGACTTTGTGTGTTCCTACTGAAGTCTGAAACTCAAGACTGAGTGTGAGCAGGAAAAGCGGTCCAGAACTATGCAGTGGTGTAGTCGAGGAAAATCAGCAGATGAGCTGTGTCTGCTGTTGAAGAGAGCAATCAAAGAAGGCTCACTTGATGGAAGGAACTAAGTCAGAGTGAAGAGACAGGAGTTGGTGGGGTTCAGCCTGGAGAAGAGAAGGCTCTGGGGAGACCTTACAGCAGCCTCCCAGGACTTAAAGAAGCTATAGAAAAGCTGGGGAGGGACTCCTGATCAGGGGGTGTAGGGATAGGACAAGGGGTAATGGGTTTAAACTGACAGAGGGCAGATTTAGATTAGATCTAAGGAACAAATTCTTCAGTGTGAGGGTGGTGAGGCCCTGGCACAGGTTGCCCAGAGAAGCTGTGGCTGCCCCCTCCCTGGCAGTGTTCAAGGCCAGGTTGGACGGGGCTGTGAGTAACCTGGGCTAGTGGAAAGTGTCCCTGCCCATGGCAGGGGGGTTGGAACTGTATGATCTTTAAGGTCCCTTCCAACCCAAACCGTTCTAGGATTCTAGGAAGATAGGACTTTTTTCAAATGAGGATCAGGGAGAGCATTATAAAGTATGTATGATTCCCACATACAGAAATGTCAGGGTTCCATACCAAATCCTCTGCCATGGACTGCGCTCCAATATCAATGGAGAGGCTGCTGAGTTGAGGGGGGTTCTGAAACTCACGGTAAAATGTCCCCAGGTCCATTGGAAGAATGTCATCTTTTGAAAATGCTGGTTTCTAGAATCAAAGATACTGCTGTTAACTCCCATTCAGAGATGCTGGCTTCCCCTTTCCCATAATCTCAGGTAAAGTGATTACCTGCTATCAGTAAACATCTTGGCATTACAACTGTTGCTGCAATAATGCAGATTAAATAAAAACAGCCAAGATCTGTGTTTGCCTGAGCACTTGGAAGAGAGCATTTCCTTGGAATCTGGCTCCTTCAGGCATTAGAGAGAGGACACCGAGTCCAGGTGTTGGTAGGGAACTGAATGTTTGATTTGTAGCTGTTGGTTGTGAGTATCAGTGTCTGTAGTTTTGGAACTGTCAAGCTCTAGTTTGGAACTGTGACTCCTGGGTCTTTTCCACCCCCACTGAAAACTACTCTTCCATCCTCTGCCAGCACCCGATGCCCATCTAAGATGCAGGTGTTAATATGAGAGCACTGATGAGGGCACTTACAAAGTCAATCATGACAAAGTCATCGTGGGTGTTCCCTGTGCTGCTGCCACTGGAGCCCTCCGAGTGTAAGCTACCTTGCAGAGGAGATTCAGTTTCTGGGGAGTCAGGAGGATTGACCTGCCCAAGAAATGAAAGACGGTGAGTGCTGATCTTACGGTCACACCTGTCAGTTTATTTAGACAGTGTGGGGGCAGCGAGGAGGTTGGACAATAAACATATGCTACAGCAGGGGCAGCAAACACATACTGTTATTTGCATGTCTAGGGAGTCCAAGACTCAACATGGGAGGCTTCTCGAAACCAAGCAAATCTGAATAACTAGTTCTTTGCTCAAAAACCAAAGTGGATTCAAGGTAGGGAACATCATGGATGTTGCATAAGGGATGCTGAGAAGGCACATATTATACCTCTGGAAGAGGCTTACCATGGGGTCGTTATCTTCCAGCTCAACATTCTTGGGAGCAAACATGGCAAAAGGAATGTCTAAGTTGGCCATGGTCACCTGAGGAGATTCAGCAAACAGAATTTCACTAAGATGCTCTACTTACCCCGCACAGAAAAGGATATTGAAAGTCTTTCGTCAGGCCTGCCCAAGATCACACCAGCAGTTAAGCAGGAGGCTGACAACCTCACTTAAAAGACATAAAATAGACTGTACTTAGCTGACCTAATGCAGATACACACCCTGAGGTGGGATTGCTTAATATATCTTGTATAATATAGGCAAGGATTAACGAACTGCTACAAATTCAAACAATTCTCCTTCATCCATCCAAAAGGCCTAGAAGATCAGCCCTAGGAATCAGGCAGATCTCTCAGCTGCCCTAGCTGAGCTGAAGTGCTTGTTTACCAGTGGTGAACTGGTCTGCTGCATGTCCCTTCAAGGAAGGGAGGCTTGCTACCAGCTCCCACACTTTATGAACCTGTGGTAGCAGCAGATCATTGCGAGACCCAAGTGGAGCATCAAATCTTCCATATCTAAACGGGGTGTTGGCACATTCAATGGCTGTCTTATCCCAAAAGGATTTTATAAAGAGCAAGCCTATGGCAAGACCCTGCAGGGAAATGCAGCAGGCAGGAATATGCACTCTCAGTCTCTGAGGTTGGGCTGGGCCGGTTTTTGCTCCTCTGTGTAGGAACATACAGGAGAAACAGGTATTATGGTGCCCTCTGAGGAGATTTACTGCTAGTTACCTGGTTAATGGGTTTGTTGACAAAAGCTCCCACCTTCCGGATGAAGATGGTCTCCAGAAGGTCATGTGGGGAGGCACACTTCCCTTCGCTGCTGTTTGATACCGTTTCTGTGTCCTCGCTGTGGAAGAAAAGTAGACTAATTAGTGACTCATAGCACAATCAATATAGACAAATCACATGCTTTACAAGACTCCTTCATCTTTCTGGGTTTAGTCCTAGTATGGGAAGAAGGACAACAAATCTCTGCCCTTCTACCACACCTTCCTCCTCAGTCATGAGCACAAAAGGGGAGTGGGACACTTGTGGAATCAGATTTTTGTTTAAAGCTGGATGAAAACTATTTAGTTGAATGAAAAGTTAATGCCAATGGAAATAGGAATTTTATTTTTTTGGAAGATGGACTTCTGATTTCAGAATGTGCATGTTCATGGCAACTACTATTATTTTTCCAGTAATACAGTAGTCATAGATCTGTCAGGAGGTGAGTGCAAGAACCAGAGCTGTATCTGTCACTCGGGTTACAAAGGCAGCAGTCTCATACATCACAACCTCCACTGCCAGTATGATTAATTCACTGCATGGCTATGAGTTAGTTCTATGACCTGTTGGTTGGTTTGGTTTTTTTTCTTACTACAGGTATTCAGAACTTTAAAACAAAACAAAAAAAAAGTTTGAGTCTTCTGACAAGAAGACTACTTAGATAGCATACCCAGAAAAGTGCTAGTGCAACTGTGATTTTTGGTTTCCTCATAGCAAAATGTCTGCCTAAGATATTTGACTCAAAACTACATGACCCCAAGAGACACTTCACAAGAAAAAAAAAAAAAAAAAAAAAAGAAGGATTTAATTAGCTGATGGAGGTGATTTCTGAGAGTTTGAAGTTGCATTGTTTCCATTTAAGTAACTTTGTGCCTACAGTTTCTTAATAAAGTAGCGAATGGATTTGTGGTAGCTACAACTGGTTTCAGTAATGGTTCACATTAAGTCTGGAGAATTTATGACCTGCTTGTGAGCTTCATCTTATTGTTTTACAATCAGCAAAACAAGTAGAGAGATTAAAAAAAGATAAAATTTATAATAAAGTTAAAATTGGCATAACAGAAGTTGCAAGATTGCTACAGTAACTAGCAAGTGTAAGTAGATGGGTGAGATCATTGTCTGGAGAAAGGCTGCGAAAGCCCCAATCAAAGAAAGCTGCTAGTTGTTTTGGGGGATGTAAAGACAATAGTTATGCTACAAATAATAGATAAAAATGGGAAAACAAAAAGTTTAATCTTAACAGGTTTATAAATGGGCTAGTACAAGTGGTGGATCATCTAAAACCAACTTACCTACTAGAAGGAGTAGCTGCTGAGTAGTGGACTCCATCCAGTGGGGTGCACATCCTCTCTTGGTCAGCTTGGGTGCCATGTGCTGGCTGGCTAGGAATTGGGGGGACTCCTCCCTCTTTGCTTGGACCAATCAACTGAGATGGAAAGGAACAGTCAAGCTAGAGATCTCAAAATCAGGCCAACACCGCAGTGCAATATGGGAGCAGATTCTGTCACACTGGGACTAAGTTGTGGGGTTTCTGGCATATGGCTGGGCTCTAGCCCCCATGAGACTGACAGAGGTGTCAAGTAGGAGATGATCACCACAATACACACTTTTTTTATTCCCTTCCTACTCTACTCCTCTCTGGCCATAGGTCCTCTACTTCAAGGAGAGGAGGGGAAAAAAAAAATCGTATCCTCTTGCTACAACCTCACAGGTCTCTACAGCCTCCTAAGGAGGGGAAGTGGGGAGGGAGGTGCTGAGCTCTTCTCCCTGGGATGCAGTGGTAGGACACACAGGAATGGTTCAAAGCTGCGCCGGGGAGGTTTGGACTGGACATGAGGAAGCATTTCTTTACCGAGAGGGTGGTCAAACACTGGAACAGGCTTCCTAGAGAGGTGGTCGATGCCCCAAACCTGTCTGTGTTTAAGAGGCATTTGGACAATGCCCTTAATAACATGCTTTGACTTGGTCAGCCTTAAAGTGGTCAGGCAGTTGGACTAGATGATTGTTGTGGGTCCTTTCTGACTGAAACAGTCTAGTCTATTCTATTCTACCATCACTGTGTCAGCAAAACTCTGGTGTGGCAGCAACATCACAGGCAGAAAAAGACTTCTGTCAACTTTGCTTATTTGTCTGATGAACGGGTGCAAATATGCTGATATGGACTGTGAGTGTATCCTATGTCTAGGCCACAGTGCTGGGCCTGGAGAGCCATAGGGGTGGCAGCTCTGTAAGACAGCCAGAGTCTGGAATCAGTCACATGCTGGTGCAGGCAAACAGGGATGGTGCCTGCTCTCTTGGCATAGTTTTTCCACAGGATCCCTACCCCAGTAAAGTCAGGGATGCTGAGGAGCCAATTCCCATCTCCTGTGCAAGTTGTACTTTCTCTCTATTTACCTTACATTCTTTTCATTCCTGACAGACAGGGTACCAATGCATGCACTAGTTACAAGGCCTCTCTCAGATGTACAAGTGACACAAATAGTTGCAATACCAGCCACGCTTGTTCTACCCTCTACAAGTACCTGGTGAGGGTGTGCAGCATTCAAGCCACCAGCAAAGAGGACAGGATACCCCATGTCAGCTGATCCAACTCCCAGGGCAGCAGGCTGATAGGAAAGACGAGAGCTGGAAAGCTAAGAAAGAAGAGAAAAAACAAGAAGGGCAAAGGGAGAGGAGAGAGGAAGGGGAATGGGGAATGCCCCACAGTCTGAATAATCATCAGTCACTGAAGAAGGAACAGGAAAAGTCAGAGGCACAGCACAGCATTTCAGGCTGGCAGAAGGATGCTAGCTTTTCATTGGAATCAATAATGAAGGTTTTTACTCTAAAAAGTTCTTACTGCAGGGGACTAAGTCTGGGCCTTGACAAGAAAACAAGACTGGTTTCCTACCCACACAGGAGGCAGCTGTGCAAGGTACAACTGACATCCAGTCACAGGGAAGCTCTGCTCTACAGGCCTCTTTCATACCGGTAAAAGCATGAATGCCATCATTAACTTACTAAAGAGCTAATTAATATTTTTTTTGCCAAAGCAACTGCATTATCAACTGAACCCATTCCCATTGTACATTAAAATAACTCATCTTCAAGGCCTGTTCAAATAGCTTCAGCTAAAGAAGACAGAGTCCCATGAATGCACTAGGTAAAGAGAACTGGGAAGCTAACCCAGCTTGCGAGACTGCTTTAGGAATGAAGTGCTGGAAGCAGTGAAACCCAGAAGTTCCTTAGAGACCCCAGGTAGAAATCTAGCTGGTCAGATTAAATAAAACTTTCCTGTTTTAGCTTGCTTGACCTCAGGAGGAACACTTCTTTCAGAGTGATACTCCAGCAGCACCAACGCCAACATCCCTTACAGGGGTCTGACCCATGAACAGCACTTCCATCCACCTGAGGCTGGTTATGCTGAATGGAGCACTAATGACTGTGCAGGTTCTAGGGACACTGGCTGTTGAGAGAACACTCAGCACTGTGCCTTACTACTTGTGTCTTTCACTAACAATCCTTGCAATAGCTGTTGTTTATGCAGGGGTGCTTGTCCTGTCTTTGGGAGACCTTCACTTGCAAAGGCATTTAAGCAGCGAGTCTCAAAAATATGCCTGGCCCACTGTGGGTTCACCAGCCTTTCCCATACACAACCAACATTCCACATTGTCAAATTTGTTCTTTCCTGTATTTGTTCTGTCATGCCAGAACTGTATCTGGTCATGCATAGCATATTCTATTGACAACTCACTTGATGTGAAAAGGCCAGTCCCATCACTGGGACCTTCAAGGTGTCCGTCACCACAGGAGGAGGGGTCTGAAAATGTGCCTTTGTGACAGTAAAAACACACTGTGCACAGACACAGACACACAGAGGAAACAAGGAAAAGAGAGAGAGTGAGAGGGGGGAGAGAGAAAGAGAGAGAGAAGGACTTCAGAGAAGAACTATGAAGAGTTGGATGAACTGAATGCTAGTGAAGAGGTTTTGGCTGCAGCAGCCACACCTACACACAGAGCAGAAGTCTCAGCATTGCCAGAAGCATATTTGTTTTGTAAAGAATTAACTGTTTTCTGATCTCAGTAAACCACTCAACACAGGTAATATTTTAGACTCCAGTGAACACTGACAGAAAGTAACTGCCAGTGACTCTGTTCCACAGCTAATTAGAATTGGTACCAGCCAATTAGCAAGGAGAAGATTGAGCAGATGCCAGAAAAAGCCAAGAATGTGGGGGTTTTTTGGCATTGTACATATTTCAATACTCTCCATCCATCCATACTCCTAACCTTCCAGCATTCTGAGGGATCATATCTTGGCAGGCCTGTGCTGCACCCTTAGAATAAAGGGGACTCACACTAAGGTGCAATTCAAACACATTGATGTGAAGAGATAAATCTGTCAAGAGGAGTGACATGCCAGAGGTAAACTCTCTCACAGAGGGTACTAATGCAAAAAGGGCAATACCAACATGGTTCAGTCCCATACCTTCTCCCAGTCATTTTCCTTCTAACGGTTTCCAGTTTTAGGAAAGCTTCATTTCTGGGTATTACCCATGGCCAAACTTTCTCCTGAATTTTGGGCTACTCCATAACACACACAGACATACTATGCAAGATCATGGAGAGAAAGCAAGACCTATTCCCTTGCATCATGCAGGTTAGGCCTCATTTCTACTGGGAAGGCAGGCACAGATTTGGACAATTTGCCTACAGAATCACACAGTTGCCAGTATTTTCCTATACACTAAGTTGTCGATAGAAAGCTGGGGAAAGAAATTAACTTTCTTTTTCCTCTCTTCTAATTTACTTTAGAGACCATTCTGCCAAGACAGCCTTACAATTCTAACTGTGGTAACAAAGACTGGCAGTTGCTTTATAAATAAGTGCACAGCATATGGCAACTATGAGCCACAGGAAAAGCAGGAATGTAGGCTCATACTTAATGTGAATCCTCAAGGTTCATCTGGTTTCATAAAGCTTTCCCCCTCGGTGACAGCAAAGCTTCACGTCCCCTGGGGAAACATCAACTTCGATGTATTTGCATATGCTATTACTGTTAAGTAACACTGGTAAGAGCAATGCAGTGGAAATTTCCTTATAAAACCTTTTGCATTTAACCCATTTTATGAAAAGGCAGGACACAACTCGGCCACAAACTCATCTCCTCAGCTGTGTGTTGCAGAATAAGAAAAGCTTTATTCCATCAGACTTACCGTAAGCGCTGGCTGATTAGTTCAACATGATGATGCCCTGTCACCCAAAATCCACTTGGCACAAAAATGCTTCCTAAGAAAAGCTCATTCACACAGTAGAATACATTCTGCTAAACCAGTCATACTGACTCCTCTGGAGCAGTGGAAAGACCCATAGCAATTTAGAATGGCATTCCAACGATACTTCATTCTATGCTTCTCATCAACAGCAAAAGAGATTTAGAGTCTTTAGATTGTCTTTAAAGATCAGTAGAGCCATCTGCTTGGCTGGACAACAAGGCAGGACATTCCTAAATATTTAAAGCTATAGGACAACTACAAATCTGGCCAAGTCTTCAAAATACAGAATTGTGGAGTTAGATATATAAGGACAGCAAAAGAAGGAGGAATTGGAGTTTCTGTGTTTTGATATTCTGAAGGAAACCATTATCTATTTATTTTAAAACTGGAACTTAAGTGAAATTTGCATGGGTAGGTAGAAATACAGAGCATTAAGTCCAATACTATGATCCAATTTTTTTTGCTGATACTTATTCCTGCTGCTCCAACTAATTTTAGTTGGTCCAACAGATAAGGATTTTGTCCTTTTCCTGCTTTTCCATTCTGCAATGCAGAAAATACGACTGTACTATAAGCATTTTCCTTGTATTTCAGTGTTTCTTGCTCAGTGTCAGTCTGTTACCTCTACTTAACACTACCTGGCAGCAATCTCTTGAATTCCTCTTCTTGCAGTATCGGTATGTGAATGTGCAAGTACACTGCTATCCTCTTCAAGCACATCTCAGCCCAGCTACAGGAGTAGGTTCTTTTAATCTTTCTCAGTAATTCAATATTTCTAGTCCCCCAGCATTTTGTTGAAATTAGCTTTTACTCAGAGTAACGATATAAATAACCCACACATTAAATTTTCATTAGCAACAGGAGGCGGCCTGTTTGCACAATAATTGATGTAGGAGTATGCACACTACCCTAACAGCGATTGTTCTGTCTAAGAGTAGAAAGAGTCTGGTTTCTCTTACCTGAGATGGTGGAGAGGTGGAAAAAGATGTGGTACACACTTCTTGAGAATCTTCTACTGAGGGGTATACTGCCCCATTGTCCTCACCAGCTCTACAGCAACAAGAAAAGCAAAGCTTTCTAACTGGAAATATTCCTTAAAATGAATAGTAAAACACACTGGACAAACACTGCAGGGAGGCTGAGCGTATTTAGGGGGAATTGAAATGAGAATTATGAAGGACTCTCATCTACTTGGCAGAACTGAGGAAAACCAAGGTATGACACTTTAATTTTCCCCAGGTGCTCCTCTTCTACCCCTACATAGAAACACTTCCCTCTCTTTTTTTAACAAAAGGTTTTGTTATACCAGCTAATGCTATTGGCTTCAGTGTTTACAGAACTGTTGTCAGACACTACCTACCACTGGTCCCAATCTGTGCGCCCTCACACACATTTTAGAGAAGACAAACCTGATCTACAAAGAGAAATTAAACTCTGATCTTTCCCCAATGGAAATATCCGGAGATGTATGCTTCTGGACATGTACTTCTACAGCAGGATTAACTGTTACATTTTCGAATTCCCAAAGGCAGCCAAGGTTGAACATCCTTTGTGTCCACGTGCTTCTGTAAGGAATCTGAGAAAATACTGTGGCTTGCTGTACTCAGTCTTCTAGATGTGAGGAGCAAAATGTCATGCTTCCTCCTATGCTCAATCATGTCAATATGATTGACACTAATCCTCCAGTCTCCCTTCCCATGCAGGCAACAAACAGTGGAAAAGGCTCCGTATTTGGGCATAACTGATGCCTTCACCATGGCCCGTGACTTCAACTCAGTATTTCCTCACCTGTAATTGCAGGGGTGCATGGGTGAAGAGCTGGGATAGGGACGGTCCACAAAGTGATCAATGATAATCCCCATGATAGGAGGGGTCCTCTCAAACTGCCTGCAAGGCAACAAGTAATGGTGTTATTGGCTTCTTCTCTCTACTCTCACCCCAATTCATGGTGTCCTCACAGAAAACCCTTCTGTTTGTTAATGGGACCAGAGCATCTTTACAATTCAGCCATGTAACTCCAAGCATCAACAAGCCGGAGTTCTAGAGTCTGGCTCAGGGCTACCCAAATACTCCCCTTGCTGCAAGACTGAAGCATGAGAGAGGGTATGCTCCATGAAGGAGAATCTCAGCAGGAAAGGATAAGCAGAAGGGAAGGATTTAGGGGTTCATAACAGGAGGGGATTAATAGTACATTATTGTAAAACAGTTTCTGTCAAGATCACATTTTCTCACCTGGTTGACATGAAAGCGAGGTTGATTCTGTAGGCACAAGACAAAGTGATGGTGCCCACTGGTGTACCCACTGTCCCAACACGGACTGTCTGGAAACCTGTAAGGTTAAGGAATGATGATCAGTTTCACTGATAATTTATGTCGCAGGCTTTTCTATTCTGATGTTACATTATCTTATTTCTATAGCGTTTCTGTATCCCTTGCAATCTGAACTTCAAAGGCACATATAGAACCCATGACAAAACAGCAGCACTAGGCTGCCTTGCTAGAGGCTTCATCTACAAGACTTTTGATGTTGCTCTCTATCTTGGTCTAACCTATAGCTCTGAAGTGCTGCTTGTTCCTGAATAGATCATGATCTCCTTTACCAGTCCTGCCCCCTGCCAACATTCTTCCATATTCTTATTTCAGTTCCAGATCACTAGAGTTAAAATGGCAATCGCCCTGGATTTTAATAAAGTACCACCATTATATCTGTCACTGTATGATACAACCCTTCACTGGTAGATTCACATAAAAAGCATATGTAAACCTCAAGAGTTAATTTTCCTTATGGTACTTAGGAATAGTAATAAATGGCCAGCCAGTACGAAAAACGGTTCTGCTCTAGTTTGTGTGTGTTGCCTAATCATACCTTCTCCCAAGCCACTCAGTTGCACTTCACCAAAATATATCCTGCAGGAAAAGGAAGAAGAAAAGTTATTAGGTCCACTGGGGACAAAATGCTATACATACCCTTATTCCTTATTTAATTTTATGAGATGAAAGGCTGGAACTAATTGTTCTCTTTAGAAAAAAACCCAACCAAAGAAGTGGCTAGAATGTCTGTCTCAAAAAACCTTCCAGCTATTTCAGAGGAACACATGTCATGTAAAAAGAAAAAGGAAGAGAAAACGCTAGTCTAATCAGAAATTTCTCTGCAAGTTTTTTAAGCCTCTGTGGCAAGTCTACAGTTCAGAGCAAAAATGCAAAGTGATACAAACTTCATGGACAGGTCCGAGACTAAAATCTGATACTCATCACACAACATAAAAGATTAATTATTCTGTAAAGAGACCTGCTTTTAAGTACATGCAAACCAGCAATGGAGACAAGAATGAAGAAATGGCTGGGATTTAAGTTCTCAGCTGCACAAGTGATAACAAACCTGAGATTTAGAATCATCTAAATTAGCTATACAAGTATGTCAAAGGCTTTTCTCAAAGCCAAAACTAAAGGCTGGAAGGTGACAACCATGAACCACAAGTCAGTCAGATCTCACAGGCTAAACAGAGTTGAACTCAGTATCAGGATGAGTAAACTGCAAGAACTATAGGAAGTGGAGCTGAGGATGAATCGTTAAAATGGAATAGAAGGAGAGAGTCTGAATCTATACCACAAAAGTATGCATTGCAGTTATGTGCAACGTAGGCAGGCATTTATCAAATACAGGTCAGACACTGAACAATGGGATGCTAATAAGCAATTTAACAGTCCTTGCATGTAGAATTTTTGTATTATTCTCAATACGGTAGGCAAACAACAGTAATTCACAGGCTGTGCTTAGCTTTTCTTTCAATACTGAGATGGAGGCTATAAGGTGATATATAGCCCAAAGTTCTCTTCTGTCACTGATCAGTAGTAGTTAAATCCAAATAATCTGAATTTATTATCACTCATCCCTTTTTTGCCACATTTCCAGCTGCACTGTGCATGTCTAGAGCCTCTACTGTTTGTATTTCAAATGGAGAATTTCATGTTCTGCTTTACCTGTACAGTATTACATATTCATGGCCTTGTTTCCTTGAGAGTCTGTAGGCTGGAGTTACCCTAGTTATAGCAAGCAAAGACTTCAGCAGTAGAGACAGCCTGTTGTATACAGTGTATGAAACTTTGATTTCCTTGTCACACCTATAGAACACAAAGGAAAAAATTAGCCTTTTGTTCCCAACTAAATTGTTTGGGTTTATTTGTTTTATTTTTTTAAAAACAAAATGAGTCTAGGCCAGTTGTTTAATGTCAGTTTTATTGCCAAAATGATAAAATAAAGCCCCAGTGTGGCTGTTACTGACCAACCAGCTGTAAGTCCTGCTTCAATCTAGTCACCTGTTGTAGAAGTGACTGCTGAAAAATGCCATGCAGCCTTCTACTAGACAGAAACATCTTTTCAGTATTAAAACCAGTTGTTGTTACCGAGTATATGAATTCTTGTATCTGAGGAAGCATACTAACTGTAATGGAAGAATGAAGAAGGAATAAAATTACCAGTTTATTTTCTTGACACCAATATTAAACAGTTTAACTTGCTACACTAGATGAAGAGGGGACTTCCCTTTGTCCCAAGCCACACAGCCAGTATGTGCTCATTCATCACCATAGATTGAGCACGCTTCCTCATTTCATCAGCTAAAGCAAACGCACACAAAGTGGGAAGAATGCACTTACTTTTCATTCATTTCTAGACACCAAATTTCCAGCTCCATGGAGTCCCCCTGGATGAGAGAAAGGATGGCAAACAAAGGCTCATTTCAGAACACAAACCTTTTCACATCTCATTAATGATCAGCAACAGCTACACCTCTCAATGAAAACGTTTGTCCTGACTCCCACTTTCTTGTAATGCAACAACACGAGAAGGTGCACTGGAAGTCTCACTGCACAGTGAGATCACCTGAGGGAATACCTTTCTCAGAATGGCTATGCTCTTCACGGTCTAAGAAACTAAATTTTGCTGCGCTGTCATTTGTGTGTTTGGCCTCAGATACTTGCAGTGAATTACCTCTGTTAAACAATACATTTCTTTTCATTAGCATACTACCTAACTTCATAAATGAAGATATTTTCACATTGTCTTGGACTAAAGGGCAGGAGCTCTGGTAAGTGATTTAAGATTCAAGTAAAAAAAAAAAGGCATCTATTTTGACTCATTTCTCACCTCTGAAGTTTTGAGAGAAATCTCCACGCACATAGACCGTCCAACAGCAGGTAGTTGTCCTGCCAGGGCTTTCTTTGCTTCATGGGTAACCTCTGGTATATCTTTGATTGCCAAATTGAACTGCAGAATGAAAGAGATTATTCAATCTTTTTATTTCTTTGAAAAACTGCCTGATGGTGCACTGCAGACAGACTCACAGACCCACATATAACATACTAGGTCAGTGCCCACTGAAATATTTATGAAACAGAAAATTCCCAGATGAGTTCAGGCTTTTCATATTTGCAAGCATTTCCTTGGCTGCTAATTCAAGTGTTTTTCTTGATCCTGCCATAAAAATCATGTTCATTTTCCCTCGCTTGAGTCCTGCCTTCACCCACAGAGTATCTTGAGTCTCTTCAATTTTAATAAAGCCCATTACTACAAAGTCCTGAATTGCAGACTTGCAAACTTCTGACAGAAAATAACTCATCACCCCACCCCCAGCAGATATTGAAAATGTGCTTTAGCTGGCAGGAGTTACTGAGAGGTATAATTTATCTCTCCTCTAATCAGCCCAGAGTGACATGTTGCATGTGAACAACAACAACAAAAAAACCCACACCGCCAATGAACATAACTGAATATAGCAGTAATTCTGTGAATAGTTTTTATAGTCTGCATAAGACTATAACAGCTACATCATGTTCTCAACACACACGCACGTGTATGCATGCACACACACACTCAAAACCCCCAACAGTTACAGAGTTGCTTTAAAAAACATGGCTTTACCCAGTCAGAGCCTGTTGGGGAGGATGATGATCGGGTACAGATTTTCTCTCCAAGTCGGGCCTGGACAATTACTTGTACCGTCTGCAATGGAAAGGAAAAGATAAACACGTTTGAGCTCAGCAGAGCCCTCAGTTCAGAACCTGAGCTAGATGAATTCCAAGTAAAAAAATTGAAAGGGCTGACCAGGATGTAGAGAAGTAGAGTTTGCTATGCTAATCTTCAGGTCGAATCAATTTAAATTATTACAAATAACAGGTAAATGTATTTCAGACAGAAAATCATTTGATGTTGACCTTTCTCTGTAATAACATGAAGTGACTGTCAATTTTGCAATCAAGAGTCGCACAGTTTTTGGTAATACCGAAACAAAATTTACAACTGCATCCCGAACCTGGACACCTAAACTAAAATCAAGTGAATCTGTAAACTTCTAATACAGCCATCTCAGAGTATCTACTTGCATCTATGTAGCAAATGAGGCCAAATTTTATAATTATGTATCAACACAAAGCAAGAGAACATTCTGGTATCATTGCTTTTGGATGCAATATAAAAATTTAGATAGGCTGAAAAGAAAGAGTGGAGTCCAACAGAAGATAGGACCTAACAGCTGGATGGTTACATGTGTTGATAGGAGCCCAAAGCTGACAGAGAAGTGAACTGCCCATAACTGATTCTACAGCAGAACACTTCAGGGAGAAGGAAGAGGATTTGAAGGTAGAAAAAAAGGGTAGAAGATGCTTTCCTAGTTATTCTCAGGAATCTCTTAAATTTGACATCAGGTTTTCTTGTTTTGGTCTTTAGAAAAAAAAAAAACAACCCAAACACAACAACAAAACCAAACCCCAACCCTGTTACTCTAGCTACAGGAAGTACGGCTTTTCTTAAACAAGAAAGAAGAGGCATTTGCCCACAGGAGAAAAAGTTACCTTTAAAGCAAAAAATTTGATGAATTTGTCCAGGTCCTTCCTGTCCTGGGAACTGAGATCAGTGTCCATTGCATATGGCAATCTGAAATACAGCACAGGCATGGGAATGAATTCTTCCTTCAGCATTCTGTTTGGATTCCAAGATTTCAAAATATTTTTCCATTGCAGGCTACCTCAAAAGAAATGATAAGCACCAAAGGCTTCTGCCTGTCAAAAACCTAACATGCTAAGAATTCTGGGGGGTGGGGGTGAGGTATAAACACGCATTGAATAGTTTATCTGGTCAGTGCAAAAGATACTATGAAAAGAACAACAAAGGGGGCTCACAATTAGAACTGTGTACAAGTTCTCCAATTTTGCTAGCTTAATTAAAAAAAAACCAACAAACCCCAAAAAATCCTAAACACCCCAACACCACACTGACTGGATTCTACATCAAGCTCTCCATCAGACATGGCAGCCTCTGCTTCAGAAATAACATATCTTCAGTTATCAGCACTGGTCAAAACCATGCCAAATTGGTTTTTTGAGTCTGAAAATGGTATTCCAGCAGATACTGAAATCTATATAATAAACCATTGCTGGAATATGCTTACATTGCTTCTTTACTTCCAACAAATGGTACCTGCAGTAAACCTGTACAGCCATAAATTTACCTACAGCCAACTAGAATGATAAATTTTTGCCAAGGGATAGACCAAAATTCTCTGTTCACTTCTCTTGAAAGCTCTGACAACAAATACTTAGCCCCTACATTCACATTGCCTTGTTTTTCAAAATACAATTGTTTCTAGCAATACAATGAAGTTGCACAGTGCCTGAAGCAAGGCAGGCCAAGGCACTCATCAGATTTCTGCCACCATCACACATAGCCTGGGATAAATCACAATTTTTCTCTCTCTCAGTTTCTTCATGTGTAAGTTAATCATCATATCAAGACCACAGGGAAGAACACTTTAATTAGCAGCATTAATTGTACTTTTTGCTCATAAGACTTCAAAGTATTAATTTACTCTTAATTCCTGTTGCTGTTTTTGTTCTGAGACAGCTAATCAGCCTGAAGCAGCTCGTCAAACATCATGTATTTGTGATGCGCTGCTCATCACAATAACGCTGGTGTTCTAAGGTTAGTGAGCACGAGCAGCTGCCGTGCACAAGGTTACTCTGCTCAGTGTTCAAGCTTTAAGCAAAGACTGAACTTGCAGGAAGACACGCTATTCATACAAATTAAAGTTTAGCGGGATAAAGGGGCTAATAGCCCTGTTCACACAGATCGTATCTTCTTTAATGACTATGCACATCTAGAACTTCCATTTAAAATATCTCACTTAATAGCAGTAAATGCTTATTTCTGTAGTTTTAGGAGCATCATCCAAGAAGGGCTGCTAGACAGGAGTACTCTACTTTATAGAGCATTTTATAGGGAAAAGTGCTGCTTTCTGAATGACTTGATAAAAAGAAAGCTGGACATCTAACACAGTTAAAAGTTCCTAGGCTACATTCATACTGCATCTCCTAGCACTGCACTGTTCTCATTACAAATTATAATTTCATTTGAGAACTAACAACACAAGCAATTCAACGTTAGATGCATTATCCAATTATACTTTGGATATTTTAACGTCCTCTTTAAAAATATTATGCTTTCCTTTCCTGTCTTTACCTCTATTAGACATAGATTACAGATCTTTTCTACTAGGGGGGGTGGGGAGGGTTGCAAAAGGAATTTAATGAATTTAAAGTGCTAGATGTTTAACTGATACAGCACTCTTTTTACTATAGATACTTTCCACTACAAAAAAACCCAGTGAGAATTACCTGTTATTATTCTTTTGACTTAACTAAGTAAAGTGCACCAAGTGTTGAGCTATTGTAATAACAAATGGAAGGTGTTAGGCTCACTGGTCTGTTAGGGAAAGGAAAGGACATGATCAGCATGGTTCTCTGTGCAGTATAGGAAATTAGTTCTAATGACTATACACCCAAGTATCTCTAGAGGAGAGAAACAGCCACCAGACCCATATCTTAGATTCAGGGTTGACAGAACAAGAGCTTCACAGTTCTACCCTGCTGCAGCAGAACCGGGATTCTTCCTGCAAGATCTCAAACTATCTGTAACATTCAGGAAACACTTGGAGAGTCATACTCTTACCTCTGAAGCTCCAAATGGCAGCAACAGTTGACTCATCAGAGCCTAAAGCAGACCACAAAGCTTGAGGCAAGGTTTCCTGTCAGGAATCTGGAATTTCAGGGGGAAACTGGGATCTTGGAAATCAGCTCCTGACACACCTAAAGGCCTGTGGCCTGATGACCACCATCTCCTCATTTTGCAGGAGGGTGATTACCTGAGATCTGCTAAGGCTTAGGACAGTGTTCACCTTTAGAATCATTCTTGATAAGAGTCAAGACAGGCCTAGAATTACAGCAAACATTTTATTTACAAAAATGTCTCTGTACCCTCAGGTTAGCTGCCACTAGCTGCCCTGAACAGTAAGGGAATTCTTTAAACTTCCACTAAACTCATTCAAATTCTCAGGTCCTGTAGATTGCACTGCCAGCACAGCTCCCTGTAAAGTGCCAGCATCCGGGTACATACTTAGCTCAAGGAAGACGCTGTCTAATTTTACACTGAATAACACCTAGAAGGAAATAACCTTTGGTCCAGGTTAGAAACCCACAGATGACTGATTCCACCCCAACCAAGTAATCCCTGACGTAAACTGATACCTCACTGCTTTAGCCTCACACGTAGGCTAAACAAACCTCTTGGCCACAAGGCTTTTTGCTTTGTCTTCCTATTCCTGCAACATCCATTTTCATACTATAACCTTTAGTTATATGCCTTTGTCTCCACTTTATTCTACACAGAAACATCAGAGACAGGTGTTCAAAGAAGTGTGGCTCTTTTGACTCAATCTTTATTCTTTCTCATGAGGTTATGAGGCAGAGAGTACTAGGCTTATCTAACAGTTTAACATCCAAGTGTCGTGCCTTATGTACTCTACTGGTATTTCTGCTCTCTTTCTTCCAGGAAATGGACACATTAACGTAAGCTGATAGCACCCTGTGTGCATGATGCAACTAACTGCAAGAGCTCTCCCCCTCACACCTTGGTACAGCCCAGAGAACACACAGCTACCCACGTGCCACGTGTGCGCAGATACCTGTAACCCGGGCACCCCACAGGTGCCAGGAACACCCGTGAATACTCACGTTACAGCATGTGTTTAATTCGTGGGAATTTAGTGTGAATATGTGTTTGACACTCCAATACATAAACAGGAAAGGAGCAGAAGCACCTGACGCATACCAGGCATTCCTATTGCTCAGGGGGAAAGTGTATATAGGCTGCTTCCATCACCACCCTCCTCTGAGATTTCACTCTGAGCCATGGCTGCTACAACTTAAAGTCATCGTGCTTTCCTTTCAACCAGGTATTTACCAATGCAAAAGAATTACTCATGGTTCCTGTCCCAGAGTGATATTAAAAAGACCAGTGGGAAGGAAGAAATGAGAAGGGCTGTCACTGTAAGGAGAGGGCTGTGGACAGCTCTCATCCCAGCTGCACGTTCCCCAGACTGGGGTCCTTGTCTCTACCACTCTTCCAGAACTTCTTTGTTAATACAGGACCCAAATCCAATCTCTGAGGATGTCCTGTGTGAAGCTCCAGAAAAGCCTCATTGAATCATGCAGGTAAACAAGAAGTACATGAAAGTTTTTGAGGCTTTTAACAGAGTGCCTTTGATAAATAGGCTTGACTGCCAAGAAAGCCATCCTAGAACATCCCCTGCAATGACCAAGAAGCTTCAGTGCAAGCAGGTATTTTGAGCACATTAATAAGCAACTATAAAAAGATCTCCATAAAGACAGTGCTGTGTTACAAGGTTGGGCCTACAAGTCAAACTCCAGTATCCCACAATTAGTTAAAATTAATCTCCATTTCGCCTTCTCAGTAGGTTAGTCAGAAACCTGGGGAGAGGGAAAGGGAGGGAACAGTTCTAAATTTTAAGGTGTCACTCTCATTCTTTAAAGTTTATGGATTTTTTTAAGAGAAGACTACCGTAGATTCTAGCAGAAAAACTTTCACATAATATAAATATTCTAATGAAATCAAAGGCTCTGTAGTTCACTCTATGGTTATGTTTTGACTGATAAAAAGGCAATTTTTTCCTGCTGATAATAGGTTTACTTCCTAACCGATAAATGGCTTCCCACCTTAGGAAATATCTTACAAAAGCCAGCACTGCCAGCTCCACTGGCTTAAAACCAAAATTAAGTCATTCCTATTGACTGGCAGTTACATTCTGTATGTCCCTAAGGTCTAAAAATGGTGTCAGTTCAAAGGTCCATCCTCTCACTTTGTTTGTCAGGCCTAAGTATACAGACTAAACCAGAATCTGCTTCTACGTAGTCTGTACTACAACCACCAATACAGTCATCAGGTCTCAACTTTTGTGTGAATACAGTTCAGAAAATCTGAGATTCTACGATACCACTTAAGCAAAATAAGATGATGCCGTATGATCCTTCCAGCCATTTAAATACAGCCCGGCTCATCTGAATGACTTATTTCTTGCCACAAGAAGGAGGGTTCCAGCAGGTCAGGCCACTCCTGCAATAATTTGGAGATGCTCTAAACTTCATTTGCATAGCCACCTAATTTTCAGCGAAGGCAGTAATTTACCATGTTTTTTTCCCCCCTTACAATGTGCCTAGTCACACCACTTTTGAGATTTGTAAGTAGGCAGTTTGTAGACTTACTCCAAAGTGACCCTTTTCTACCTGTTCACCAACACGGAGGTTTCTCTGCTCCCACCGAATTGGTGGGAATGACTCTGGCGGTGCCCTAAAAGCCACAGCTCTAACAGGAAAGAAAGATGCGATGATCTGTAAACCCCCGATCTTTCCTAACAGACAGCAAAACTCACATGTTACAGGAAAACTACACGATGGATCGTAGGGCCTGAAGTTCTGTCGTTTCTAGCAGGGTCGGAAGCATTTTGATTTTTAAAGACACCACCCGGAGAGGCGTCAGCGGGCCACATCCTTCCCGGTCCCCACCGGCAGACACCAGCCGGTAGGAAAAGCGAAGCCGGGCCGCCGAGGCTGTCGGCGCCGACACGGCTGCAGCAAAGCCCGACTGTAGCGAGCAGCGAAGCCGAAATAAAACGGAGACAGGAGGCCGCAGCTGAAAGCTTAAGGCTCACGTCCCGACCCCCTCCCCTCAAGCGCCGCCCGCCCGCCGGCTCCCGGAGCTCGCTTCCCCCCAGCCCCGGGACCCCGGT